ATCAAATTATTTGTTTACAAGTAATAATCTTCGTTCATGTAAAATTTATTAATGTAAGATGCTCTACCAAATTCTAATCTTCTGAATTCCTCATGTCTCTATCTTTTTTCTATTTCCAAATTTATTCCACTGGATTTTACTTCTTGACTAACATCTTCAAACCCTAACATTTCACATTAATACCTATACTCTTACTACTTCTACCACTATGAGATTTGAATCGACAACTGCATCTCTATGCTAATGTGATATGGCAACTCGAACTGATGTATGTACGTACAAAGTTCAACGTTGTGTCTGACTGACTGACTGAAGATGCTTATAAAACTCTTAGTGTCAAATAATAATCTGAATGCTTTTTAGATAAATATTAAAATGATGTAATGGTAGTATAATGTAAACTAAAGATGAAATAAGATGAATTGTGGCTAGCAGTGGAATCCAGGACGCACGTTTCGTCCTATATGAGACTCGTCAACTGGATGTACCTGCATCTCAGAATTGATGTTTACTCTGGGACTCGAACCCAGTACCTTTCACTTCAAACGCCATTGCTAAACAAAGATGAGATAAATACATAAAGTGATGAATGAAGAAACATAATACACCACTAGCCAACTCATATCTCTTTTTAGGACAAACTTATGAAAAAAAGTATAAAAATTGTTTTGATTACTTTATGTTCTAAATTAGAAAATTGCTTTTTAGTAGTACATATACACACACACACAATTTGATGTAAGCGAACAACAACACTATTTATGATGCTTACATGATTAATAAATATCATTTATCAGGAATGTAGAATTAATTGAATTCTATACATGAATAGTAAATATACTTTTCTAGAAAATACTGGATCGATGATAAGTAGATTTCTTGCAAGCGGAAAGTATTGGATACAGGTACCTATCTATCTACTTTACCTAACTACCTACCTATCTACCTATTTATCTACCTACTTACTTACCTACCTACCGATAGAAAGAGATCAATATAATATGTATGTTGATAGAAAAGCTCATGAGATATCTATGCATTGACATATACACACAAACACACCTACACACACACACACATGTAAGCAACCAATTATTTTTGTGCTCAACTAACTAACTGAGCATTGACATGAAAGTAATATATAACAAAGATTATGAAATTAGTTGATAAGCTTTTCAACCTTATAATATTACACAGTATAAAGGTGAGTAGACTTTAAAAAAGTGTGCAGAAAGATTGATGGAAATAAGATTACATAATTGAGAACTACTTTAATAAAAATCCATTATTGTATTATTCTAAAATAATAACCTGAAGAAATAATTTCCATAGATACAAGAACATGGATTTTGAATTTTATCTATCTGATTCATTTTAATTAGTTTGCATTTTTGTGACTTTAGTATTAGTGTAATAAAGTCTTATTAATTTCAGAAGTCAACAATTACAGTGAAAGTATGTATTCTTGTATACATATGTATACTCTCTTTCACATACAGTCAGTTGCTGCTACCTTGACGTGGTGGTTGATGAATCAATCGAGCTATACTGGCTGGAATAATCGTCCCTCAAGGTCCTACCATGCCAGGCAGGTCGGTTGAAGAGCGGTAGGACTAAAAGCAGCAAATCCAAGGTTCAAAGGCGAAGTCGTACTGCTGACCATACAGAGGTGTGACAGCAGTAAGGTGTTTCTTTCAGACAACCAGCATAACAGCAATGCTGCCTACCCACAAGGAGGAGTGGGGTTAGAAAAGGTCAACCCTAAAAATGCACACCTCGCCTTATCCCACGGATATCCGTCTCCGGCGGTAAGGTCCTTTGAAGAACGGAGCTAACACAAAAACTACCCACAAAAAGGTCGTGTGTGACCGACCTCAAGAAGTTGTCCTTTTTGCACTGCGGTCACGCTCTCAGGTCATTAAGACCACTTCTAACCCAATTTCCTTTTCAGGTATATAAATATATATATATATATATATATGAAAGAGTTTATGAAGGAGATTGATTATACATACAGAGGTCTTGAGTGCTGTTAGAAGTATGAGGGTAGTTATCACTTCCCGGTCGTAGAAGTCGGTTGCGACTTCTGAACTTAATGAAGAGGATAGAGAAGAGCTTGCGAATGAATGGAGCTTAGCTGTTGTATCCGTATCAATGATGCTGGTCAGGTGTGTAATTGGTCGATTTGGGGAGACTGGAATAGTGGACGCTAAATAGACCGAATTATAACTAGGATTCCTACTGATGACTGGACACATGTAAATGGCCAGCGGTTTGAACACATAAATACTTCATACTCTGATAGAATACATTTACGTGACTGTCTTACTATTCCAATGTTAATTTCCTAGTTTGAATAGGTCGAATTCTACTGAAATATAGGGTTCTTATGAGATTATTAAGGTTAGTAAACTTCATCAGTCATCTTGGAAAAAGAAAATATTAAGATTTATTTAATAAGTCTAAATACATTTCTTTCTTGCAAAAAGATACCGTAATACACTCTATAATCAATCAATTGGATGCGCACTGCTGAGGAGTCCCACAATAAGACGAAACGGCCATCCAGTGCTTCCAGGTTTTCCATGTTGGTCTAGCTTCAATTGACTCATAATTTTAATCATAAAATTACTAAAACCTCCACAAAAACCCCTCCTGATATATGAGAGAGTGTGAAAAAAATTCATCTACACAGTATGACTAAATTATTTGGTTAAAAAATGTCATATGAGAAACCTGAAATTAATTCATTTTATTGATTAGTTCCACAAAGAATCTAGAAAACGTTTCACATTTGAAAGTACATTCATTGAAGAAATTTACAATTATGGTGATAGTATTTTATAATTTATGTCAAAAGATGTCTTATGTTAGGAAATAGATCTAAACCAGGAAGCAATGGACAATTGTTTCATCCTAGTACAGTTATCCTCAGTAGTGCACATCCATGACTCGTTTGAAAACCGAAACTAGAACCATCTGACCCAGAATTGAGCAGTTAACCACTAAACCATTGAGTTGGCATACATCAATTAACATTTTCAACTTCAATCACTTCGGGATATTGAGCAATCATTTTCCGATCCAGTAGTTGAGTAATATATGCCTTACGTCTAATATCGTTAGAAGTATTAACTCAGTGGTTTAAAAAATGATCGCTCGTTGACAGGCCTGATATTTCTAGGTTCGAACCCAAGAATGATCTTGGATGTGAGCTCTGTCTAGAATCCCCAGACACGGAGGAAACGGTTGACCACTAACTCCTGACTTTCATTGGTTGTCTAACGACAGTTATTTTGTGATGTAAACTATAAAACTCGACAATCCCCACAAACCTCTTATGCTAGTATAGTAATAATCAATCAAATATTATGATTTATCACTCATTCACACTAACATATTCATTACGAATAGAATGATATTTCAAATGACATCAGTGTAAGCTCGACTCTGGACAGCTATTATCAACACATTAGGAGAATATGTATTGACTAAACATACATATCTCTATATATTTGTTAAACGATAAATTTAATGGACCATAATTAACTGTCTCAGTGGCCAGAATATACAATAGAAAATAATTTAACAAAAGTAAAGACCCATTTTTTCTCCATTCAGTGAAGAACTTATTACTATGAATTACCCATACATCATTTCGAAAGTATCCTCAATCAGACAAAAAAGTTTACTATGGAAATCATGTTAAGTGACTATTGAATCAACAAATTTTGAATGCAATCGGCTTAAATAGTTCGATGAAAAATAAAATGACATTTATTACTAATAATAAAGTAATATATAAAATTGTACTACTAAGTATATTTGTGGTGTGGGTATATGGTGATGGTCGGGCATTGAATGTATTTCAGTAGAAGATCGATAAGGAGAGAACGGGAACGACACGCAATTGGTACGAAAATACATCAACAGTTATAATCAGAGACTATGGACGGATATTTGCAGAAGAAACAGTCAGATTGAGACAATTGATTGTTATTTTGCAAACTAACTGTTCACTATATGGTTTTCATATCTTAATGAGATATTCTGTAATGTTGTGCTAAAATACATTCTGTTGTCCACAACTAGTGTTCTTGTTCACTACATATTTACAGACTGGATATTTTCTCTAAACATCTAGCAACCGAGAAACATGAATAAAAAGACTGACTTAAGTAAAGTAAATGTCGATAATTAGTAGAACTATTCAACTATGTTTTTCATGAATGTTTAGTCATGATAAATAGTAATTATAAACAAATCTGGATAGGGATTTGTGGATGCCGGTTCAGTGGTCTAGAGTTTAAGTGTTCGCTCGCAAGACCAAAGGACTTAGGTTCGAGTCCCACATATGGGGTCGTGGATATGCACTGCTGAGGAGTCCCATACTAAGATGAAACGGATGTCTAGTGATTCCAGGTTTTCAATGGTGTTCTAGCTTAGATTGACTTGTCGTTTCAACTGCGAAAATAAACAAATCTGTTTGCAGTAATTGGATAATAAGACAAAATTATACTGATCAATATAGTTTCTAAGAGAACTACACCTTCTAAAAACTTTCACATAAAAATATGAGCGTAGCTAATTAACGTTATTTCTTTAAATGTGGTTTATTAATAATTAGTTATAATTGAAATCGTGAGTCAATTGAAGCTAGACCACCATCGAAAACCTGAAAGCACTGGACGTCCTATTATGGGACTCCTCAGCCGTGTGCATCCACGATCCCGTACTTGCGAGATTCGAACCCAGGACCTACCATTCTCGCGCCGAAGAACTTAACCGATAGACCACTGAGCCGGCACCCAACGGTGTTAATAGGTTATAGGTTTAAATTTTGTATTATCTGAATTTGTTTAAAATAGACAATAAAAGAGAATCATATATTAATTTTAAGCGTAACCTCAAAATTTCCAACAATTAAATAGACTTGCAAAAAAAGAATGACTGACGAAAAGAAACATGAACAGTGATAAATAACTCTTTTATTGACTTACCTACGAATTAGTAGGTAGGGAAACCAATGTACGGGTTTATGACTGTAAAAATCCAAAACTTCTAAACGGTCTGCAGTCAAACGTAAATAACAATCCGGTTGGCATAAATGTAATTTCATCCAATCACCAGCTTCTTCAAGAAGTGCAGGGATTTTATCCTCTATAAAAAGTTAATAGTTAAAGAGTGAACAAGTTAATGAGTATAGTAGTCGAAAGTGTGCTGGAAAAAAAAGAAATATACGTAGTTTTATTGATCTTTTTTGGTTGAAACTTCCGATTAGAGCGTAAAGATAATCCTACAAATGACTGAATCACCCGCTGAAATGCAAGTTGCAAGACATCTGCCTCAGTAGTAGCTATAACATTTTTCACTTTGCACTTTTGTAGAACTGTTGAGATGTTTTAAGAACACCAGTAGTCTAAAAGACAACAGACCATTAAAAATCAGAGAGTACTTAGCAGCTATTTCGACACAGTTTAGGACATCTCGATGATGTTTATCTACGGCCTCAGTAAAAAAGCAGTGGCCTTAATATCTACGTGCACGTTAGGATTCTCTTATTCGCCCGAAGTTCTGTGATTAACTTTCTTAACAATCGTTAAATTAAAAATCTAAATTGGTATACACTGAATATCATTGATTAACATCTGTCTTATTCCCCAAACTGGTTAGTCTAATATGGTTGGTTGAAGGGATTTTGTAGAGATTAGCCATATTTGTGAATTGTGTTTGTCACAAATTTATCCAAGTTAGAGTACCAAGGAATCTAGAGAACACTAGACAGTTGTTTCGTTCTAGTATTAGACTACTCACCAGTATGTACCAACGACCTGAACAGGGACTGAACTCAGGACCTACGGATTTTAAATGGAACGACTGACCTGTAGAACCGCTAGGTCGTGTTTGGTGAAATTCAGAAATTTCAGGGGCAAGGTAGTTATCACTGATGGTGATGGGTGATCTTTGCGCTATATCACAAAGTGATCAAATTCGAAACTGTACCAGTTTATGCTTCCACGGCGAGAACTGTAGGTTCTTGGTTCAATCTCCCGCTGGGGTAGGGAGTCCACACTACCGAGGATTCTCTTACTAAAACCAAACACTGGTTCAGGATCCTTTTGTTTTCAGTGGTACCCCAAACAACATTGATTCAGTAAATTTTGCCTTCTTGCCACTATGCTCAAAGATCAATATCATGAGAAATTGATGACTGAATTCAGTTAAGTTCAGGATGATCTTCATCAAGAGATGGCATAACCGAACAGCTGTATTTTCCTTTGTGTTCATTCATAATCGTCATGCTCTAATGTTATAACGTATACACAGTTGCAATGTAAATTTGGATACCGTAAATAACAATCTAATACCATTTAATGGTTGCACATGCAATATACACGAATAGAGGTACAATTGTGATTTATAGAAATAAGAGGGTATTTCCTTCAGTAAGGCATCGCAGCTAGTAAAAAGAATATCAATATTATTAAAAAATTAGGGATATGAAAACGAATTATAAATGTAATGTATATATGTCAAAAGAGATTGGTCAAAATGAAGATTATGGCAAATACAGCTGAGGTTTGATTCAAACCATTATAAATAAATAATATTTATCCTCGTCTCAAAAACTAATGGCTAACTGGACTCAGTAGCTCAGCAAATAACACATTATGCGTTTAAAGTAAGAAGTAATGGGTTCAACTCTCGAAGTAAACATTAACACTGAGATAATGCCAGGTATATCTAACTGATGATTCCAAAATAGCACGAAATGCTCATCTTGGATTCCAATGGTAGTTTCATTAACTTGTGACTTATTGTAGAATATTGATAAAAAATCATTATGAAAAAATGACTTGTTTAAAAATCATCTGAAGGTAAAAACTCTCCGTTTGCACCGCTAGGATGTGTTCGTTTAAAATATGTCTTGTCACTTTAAATCAAGCAACCAAGAAAATAAATTCGTTTGTTTAAAAATGATAACCTTTTGTCATGCATTTCAAAAATGTCTACTTTCTCAAAATGGCTAACGAAAACTCGAACTTCTATGTTGTCGCTTCCTCCATCCCCTTTTTCAAAAAGTATATATATTGCTTAATTTAGACTTCATTTGACTCACATGTACTCATGTGATCTAAAAATTGTTTACAACCTAAAATAAACCCAATTAATGACAAAGTCTATAAGTACCATCGTAGTGGTTTGGAAAATCTCTTTCTCTGTCCTCTGGAGAAATAAAAGGAGATTGTCATTGTATTTGTGCATCGGATATATTCAGCAATGAAAAGACATTTTACAGAAAGCAAAACTGATTGTAAACATTTACGTATGAGTATGAATAGCAGCTGATCTCTGTTTAAAAACCTTACATACATGTTTTCCGAATACTCACATGATAAATGCCTATAAAAAGGGAGATTTGTAGCAATTTTGCATGTTTTGTGCTGAGAAACTCCTATTCCAGTTAAACATATAATATAGAATAATTATTACGTACAAAAAACAATATCACAAATGTATTTAGGAAGTGACTACTAAAGTTCGAAAAACCATTGCAAATGATTTACTCAGTGTTCCTCAAAGTCACTACCAGACACAACAAGGCACACTTTGACTCCAAACATGATGATAATAAAAATTTTATTGGATGGTATACATTTTGTTACAATCAGAAGCTCTATGTATCGATTGTGTAGTATTGAAGTACCACGTGTATCTTTTTATTTCTTTAGATATTGGATCTGTGAATTCCAATATATTCATCTCTCGTCTTTGTAAATGACAGACAAAGAAGAAAACATGTCAATGGGTGCACAGTTATGGTTTCAGATTTCTAGTATTTAGCATAGCAAAAGATCGTAAGCCCAATTCATACCGTGTGTACGCACAGTTAACACTCATAATTATTCAGTTCAAATGCATTTAAATCAGGGTGGTTTACAGGAACATTTGCAAAGTTACGAAATTAGTAGTCCAAACATTTAAACAGGCTTCCCTTAAAACGTTACTGAGATCGTTTTATGCACGTAAGGTTTAAAAGTACATAGTTCAATTGACAATTACCGTCCGCAAGCACATTCCATAAATTTATTCACCTTTCATGATTTTTTCGTCAATCACTTTTCCAATGATTATAAAGAAGGTAAACAGGGAAGTTTAAAAATGTAAAGTCACATCAAAAATACAACAACTAACACACCGTAACAAATGAATTTACAGGGTGAAACGACGAAAATAATTAAGTACTCATAGAATCATTTAGTGTTCTTTAGATACAACAAAAACGTTTTCCAAGCAAGAAATTCATCCACAAATTGTTTGTTAGCCAATGTGATGGAATTTCGAAAATTCATTTTCAAAAAAACAGGTTATTTTACCTCATACAGTTGCTCAGTACTCATAATTGAACAAAACATCACATAATGACGATTATTCCAACCAGTCTCGGATAGTTCCAACATTTGGCATATTCAGTAAATATTTATTGATGACATTCCTCAAAGTGAGATGTACAATAAAGGCACAAACTATACACATTTTCCTGGGCATGAAGTTTGCAATAACTTTAAGAATTTACATTTTATGATGTACGACTTGTCAAACAAAATGAGTCATATCCATGCTTGAAATATATGTTGTTTTTTCTGAATCATCAGGTCTAAAGTTTGGAAATGTTCCGGCAAAAGCAGTACGTAGCTCCACTAACTTACACTTGGTTGATATTGATCATGTGGTAAATAAAACCTGAGTATTCAGTGATTTGTCGGATATCATCAAGTTTTCCTAATGAGGTTCGACCTAACCCGCTACACATAGTCAAAGCTGCAGGGATTCAAGTTAACAACCGCTCTCTGTATTCAAAAGAAGTTTGTAAAACCAGTTTCATATCTGGACAGACAGCCAATAGTAAGCAATCCTACCAATCCTTTGAAACCTTTGTTTGTAGGTTTTACTACACCTCTTCATCATCACTTGTGTATTCATACCGACTATTCATACACTTCTTATTACATAATTCATAATCAATCAAATAAGTTCATTTTTTAAGCCTTGACCCGATTCCCATGTCAATATATTAGTTCACGTTATCATGCTGTTTATCATTTACATATTTATTACTACACCTGTCACCTTGTTACCAGTTCATACCTTTCTCTCAATAAATACTTCTTCAAATTTATCACTAGTTGCATTGATAATTTTAATATTTTTCACATGCACACGTAAAATAAACTATGAGGAAGATCTAATGGAAAGCAATATGGTTAGTTTATGTGTTATTCAAATTTACACCATGAGAATTTTTAATATCCCAAAGTTAGTAAAAAATATATTTTAATCCGGTCCTAAAACTGTACTGTTTAAGAAGACTGGGGATTCTGACAGATTCGGTATGATTGGTGGTTACCATTTCTTCAAAAATTCATAAATACATTGTGGCAGTTATTTGTTAATGTTTAACAAGTATTAATTATTTACTTTGCAACTGCTGGAGATACAAAATAACTGGATCTCATAAGTAAGCTCCTATTACATGCAACTAATAGCCCAGGAAACTGGTATTGATTTTGGACACAGATGAGGTTTCTGTGACCGCTTATAATTACTTTTAAGCACCCTCTCTGTCAGTTGTTTTAGATATGGCTCTTGATGTACGCTATCAGATGACGTTTATTAAAAAATTCAATGGTATTAAATGTTTCCATAAAAGGTTAATTCCCTTTTTAGATGTGACTGGCTCCCATTTAATAATGAGTGACAGTTCTAGGCTTTAATAATGTCATCAACTTAAACAACAAGAGGCATACCTAACACTTATTTTACTTAATAATTTACTTCAGTACATTTTGGACTTCAAACAATCCTTCAAAATATTTTATGTCAAGTGATTAGGACGATGAAAACCAATTGCAAACTGAGACAAGTGAAGATATTTTGCAAGCGAAATTGTGAGATTTTGTCGATACCAGTAATTTATTAGTAAGGTTTTTTATTCATCTGTAATGAAGTGCTCCAGGTAATCTAATATGTCTAAAGTAGCGTTTTCTAATTTATATGTTTTCCAAAATGTATTTGGTAAGTTGTACAACAACATATTTATTACATGAACGTCCGCTTTATATTACTTAGCAAACATTATTCGATGTATAAAGTTAAAAATAAAGTATGGGCACAGATGATGATTCTATACTTCTTTCAAAACTCACGGAGAATAAAACTAATTAATTGATCAAACAATAAGAAATGATTTGATGTAGATCTTGAGGACAGAAATCAGAGAAACTGTCTAACGAAAACACACTATATTAAATAGAGTTATTGTAAACTAAACAAGTATTTGCAAATAAGTAACCAGTCGAATGATTGTTTAGTCACTTAGCTGCTCAACGCTACAGTGTATTACCAATCTAATGTTTTTGGACATTAGGTTTTCAGTAGAATTTTTTGTTCTTCTGTTCCAACGACGGTAGTATTTCTACTGTATTACTTGATCTATGAACGTTAAACAATTCATCCTAGTTCAACCAAACCTTTTACAAAGAATCTTAAGAAATAAATTCAGAGTTACGTAGATAGTGTAAGCTGTAAAATGATTGACTTTGAATAGTTCTAGCCTTTCTGTTGCTGACCGATTATGTCAAATGAAAATGATGTACACAGTTTCATAAGATTTTGAGTGAACTTTATGAATGTGAAAAAGTATTAGCTTGGTAGTTATAAAACTCAAGAGATTTTGTCATCTGAATGTTATCAATAGCTCGCATTAAAAAGTAGGGCTTCAAACAGGTTGCATAAACTTGTATTCAGTAAATGAGTTACGTGTTTGGTAGGGATGAGGAAAGAAGTAAACTCTAATTTGAATTTTTCGTCATTAGTTATAAACTTTACACGTTTGTTACTCGAAATTTGTACTAAATATTCTTTCAACACGGATGTTTTGATCATATTTTATTTTTAGATTTTTAACTTGACATTATTTAATAGAAAGATTTCATCAAACTATCTTTCTGAAATTCGCAGGACGTTTGTCAAATAACTTTGCTCTTGTGGCACAATAAAGTGTTATTGTCAAAAAGATATCTAGGCTTCCCTCTGGTACAGTCATGCAGCTAGGTAAAATTTCGTACAAGTGTTGTCCACTACAAGGCTTCAAGTGTTTTTGTGCCTGGCTGGCTGACAGCCGTCATGATATCATAAGTGTAATAAAAAAAATCATAGAACATTCGCTGGTATACTCTACAAATGTGTAGATTTCTCGTAAATGGAGAAATTCTCACTTGAAAGAAAGTCCTCTAACTGTCAAACACTGCCATAAGATGTACGGTGAGTGTGTTTCATGAATGATGCGGCATCGAAATCATTTTACAGTAATTTACACAAGTGTGAAAAAGTAGAAAGACGTGCGTAAAACAAACTGAAAATAGCAAAAAGCGACAAATTAGACCTCAGCCATGGGAAGTAACAATATAAGCGCGTTTACATTTTACAAGAACATAAAATTTAAATAAATGATAAATTAAATCTCATAATAACATTTAGTCAAATAATTATACCTGAAGAGTATGCTTCATAAACTTCATTGTCCATTAGTCCATCGTCAAATTCACTTTCACAAGCTTGGGAATTTGGTTTAAGTGACATGAAGCTGCCAGATTTGCTAAGCGTCCCCAAATTACATGCAAGGTCTCTGTTATTCGAAGAGCAATTTTTCGACTTCTTCCCTATACATGTCTTACAAATGGCCAACCAAGTGGTGATCTCGTTTTCATCTTCCGTAGCAATGAGAAGTTTTTTATTTCCGAAAACACTCGAAGGCACAAGTTTAAGTGCAAATGAGGCACTTGAGTTAACGGCCTCTGTTCTCATTGAACATGATTTATATTCACTTAGATTACATAGTGCAGTGAATGGTCTAGTAGCGAAGTTTTCTGGACGATACGGACTTTTTTCAGGGAGTTTATCAACGCTGTTCTCTATGTAGTTGTTATTTTCACTCAATAATACCGAAGAAGGTAATGATTTAATGCACAAAAATGTGTCGGTATCATCAGTTAAAAGTCTTACATCACACAAAATCCAGTCATCCTATTAAATATATCAATTATGATTTGAAATAAAACTTTCTTACTTTAGCAGCCCGTATATAATTCGACTTTACAAAAAACCTCCCGGAGAGATTCATAACAATTCTGTATTAGTATCTAGGTCATAGATGTGGACAAAAATCATGTGGTTGATTTAAACGAAACAACCAATGTTTCGGTCTTTGATCTCCAAACTAAACATTTTGTGATGTTTCAACTTCTATACACAAAAATGTTGACTTTTCAGTACGAGAGGCTGTAATATACAACGCCATGGTGTATCGTCAGTACTAAATGATTGGAATCAAATTTTGAATTCGTCATTTGTAGTTCGAAAGCGCAAGCAAGGAAGCTGTAAGAATAAGCATTCAGATATAAGGGTTTATGTATAATTTCACAGCCAAAAAGCATTAGATACACGGTAGGCTGAGTTTCTCTGAACGAACATATATAAATATTAAAAACTTTGATTTTGAGTTCTTTTTACGAATATTTAAACGCGAACATTTTAAAAGAACTAACATTTCAAGCATCTTGCTCTTCACTCAGCAAAAAACAAAAATTAGTTCTTTTTCAACTACTACGTGGTTTTACTGTACAGTTCCAAGCCAGGTGTATCAATCAGTATAGATAGTCCAGCGACTCGGTTTCACTAGTCTTATTTACTTATTATTTACTTAGGATTCAGGATGTTTTGAGCACAATGAACCCACTTAATCTGTAAACGTAAGGTTGTTAGAGCAAATATTTTTCTCATTTCTTGGAAATCCATCACTTGATTCTTATGTGGAAGATTTACATTAGAAAGCAATAGAGTGTTAGATGCAGATAGGCAAATAAGTTGACTGGTAGATTAGACTGGTAAGAACGTAAATCGCTAAAAATGTCTAAAATAATGGAAGATAGGGGAGGGTATCAAGATACAAGATGATGTGATTGTTACTAATAACAAGCGGTAATAATGGATCAATTGAAAGATAAGGTGTAGTTATGCTACTGACAGCATAGCATTCTCTCTAATTAGTGCGTAGATTTTACGAATGTAAAGACGTCACAGGTTTTCGGAGTTTGACTACGTATCTACCATTAACATCTTCGCATTAAAAGTATACCGGCCTATTCAAATCACAAGTCAGAAATGAAGAGGTTCGAAAATATATTCGAAAGGCCACCGATATATCGGGAGTCGTTTGGTCTTAGCTAAAGGTTATAAGAGATGTCTGGTGCAGAATTATGGTCTACTTCGTTATTAGTACTACTCTATTAATAGAACTAATCCTAAAATTGTAGATTTGTCATGATGTGGCTTACTAATCTATACGGTCTTACGTGGAAGTCACATCATTGTCTATATTGACTCTTCCTCACGTAAACATCACCAATATATGATGGATGATACATTTAGGTTGTAGACAACAATATATTTGATATGAATAAAAAAGTTACATAAGAATGACTGCGTCTGTTAGGCAGATCCATTTCATCCAATTAATTGAAATAATACTTCCCGCCTTCTCCACTATTGGGTTTTTTCTTCGCTCTAAATGTTGAATATCTATTTTCCCAGTCGTCTCTTGTTCAGCTATGAGGACTCTGTGGTCATAGTCGAATGCCACTACAGTAGTAAGGCTTACCCACTCGAGATTTAGTGTAGATTTTTGACCGAGCCTTTTCAGCTAGATGTGTCCAGTAAAACCAATACGGTCAGCATCAAATATTGAAGACTTTTAGAACTATTTATTTTGGGAATCTATTTACTGCTTCAGACATTCTAAGAGAAAAACAACAAACGACTGGTCAGCATACGAATATTGAGTCTTCTTTTTCGAATTGAGTTGGCTGTCGTCACGTTCCTTTTTTAATCGTTTATTGTATTTGTTTACTTGCTCACCTTAAATCCTTTGTTCCTATCTGTTTTTACAATGGGATCTTCCCCAGTACAACCAACTTGTATGCTACCCTTCAAGGTCACATGTAATGGCTCCAAAAACCCTATTGTTTTAAAAAACGAAGTTATTCTTTATACTTACTATACTCTTCTAGAGGTTCTAGTAGGCCATCGAAGACAACAATGAATATGATCCAACACCTCAAAGTATATATAGTAGTCCATTTGCATTTTGTTACAGACTTTGCATAAAATTAAAGCAGTTCACCTTCGAAAGTATAGTAAGCTAAAAAAAATGCAGGGTGTCTTGATACCGTTTGATAGAATTCCAAGTTTGTGTGGCCAGTGAAATGTCACTGGGCCCTAGCCAAATCATCCGGCAGTTGGGTCATTGATTATTGAACAGATCATCGATCCCTTTCAATGTCAAGTACAACCAATGCTCATCATTTAATCATATGCCAAGGACTGGCCCCTGCTGTGGTGTTATCGTTATCTTCTGTACTCATTCTTACTTATATACTTCCGTAATGACAGCCTTTGTGTTACACGGCTTTCAAAGCAGCCATAGTACTTTGTTACGTCGAATGGATAATCCACCTTAAATGTTGAATGCAACGTGTGACTTTGAAGTTAACTGTTTCGTCACCCCATTCCCGTCTAACTCGAGTAGGCTCCCAATCATTCAGCAGAGATGATCTAAGTTAGTTGTCTACACGTAAAATGTAACAAAAAGGCCTTTAAAGTAAACTGGGAACAATCAAACTTAAATCACACTTGAGACCGGTTTAAAGTGAAATATTATCCTGAATCTTCAAGTTTTATTTGTCTCCCTTCGAATCAAAGAAATAGCGTTTTGTTTTCTTTATTAATGGATAGGAGTGAACGTTTGCATATCCAAAAATTAGTCACAAAGCCAGTTCGAGACTCAAATTCAACCGTTGTGAAGAACAGCTTTAACCAATAGATCTTCATCCATCAAAGGCATTCTTTTGACTACTTAAAGCAACCGTAACACTCATTAGGTCGTTTAAAATACTTGAGTAGTCTCTGTTCCAATACATAAATTAGAGGTATAACAAAGGTAGTTGGACTATATACACACCTTCTACAACCTATGTACAGGAGAGTTCTAGGGATTGCTTTCGACCGAGGTTTTACAAGTCAATGTTAAGTGTAATTTCAGAATAAACTTGATGTATTCTTATGGAAACGGAGTTTGCTTTATCTAAATTTAATAATCCTTCCATGTTGGTGTGTCCACAGAGTGAACTCCGTGACTGAAGAAATGAATGGTTCACGGAAGCTCGTTAAATAAAGGCCTCTTTTGTTATAACAACGTTCTTTCAAATCATTCGGATACCAACCTGAAAATAACTGTCGATCTCAGTAAGACTGGTGAATCCGAACGGCTAAACTACCCATACTAGAAGAAGACTTGGGCAGATTTACTAGTTCATACTAACTGAACACGAACACACACTGATAATTGGACATGGAATGATTGTTTAAAATGGCTTCTGATAGTTTTCATATCGAACTTTGGTTTTTAGTAATGCATTACCGCGTTCTTTTGTTTTCTCATACTTTTCTTGTAATTATACTCCTAAAAAATACTTCAGCATCACTTAAACACAGAGATAAAATTCAATCACTGCCAGGAATATGGCCGGTGCCAACATTCAACCAGTTTTCAGGCTATTTGAATGGATCCACTGACAATATTCTGTTACATTATTGGTTGGTAGAAGCAGTTTTCAAACCTAAAGAAGCCCCATTAATCTTATGGCTTAATGGTGGGCCAGGATGTTCGTCAATGGAGGGGCTTTTCACTGAAAACGGACCATATAACGTAAATGAGCATTTCGCTACTGTTTCTAGATTTCAAAATATTCATGTTTGCAATTCGTAATCACAATCTCGCATCGTGTTTCAGGGTTTTTATTACCTCTCTTCCAGCTAGCATTTTGCAAACGGTACGGTAGATGGCAAGATATTGACTTTGTGTTTGTAAATATGACGGACAAAATTTTATGAGTCCCATTTATATTAAATTCTATAACCGTGCTGTGGAAAGCGTTGTATCTGTGCAACAGAATTTTAAAAAAACCAAAACTTCAGAACTGAATGGTCTGCTAGTCTATATACTTGTGCCATTCTTAAGTAAATAATAATACAAAATTTCTTAGTTTTTAATTGATCAGGAACATAAATTAAGAATAAGGGTTTCTTCAAAGTGCTTTACTGCTACGGAGGTATTGGGTATCTAGGAAACCTGTACGCCAAGATACAATTTCTCTTCTTTCCAGTTTTAAATTCGAGTTTTAGGGAAATAGGTATTACTTTACCTACCTTTTGAACGTCCTTAGTTTGCCAACTCTCAGACTAACGATTAGACTGTCCTAGTTTTCTGTTCTTAATTGTATCATTCATATAATTATTGCTTTCATTAGGGTACTTTGTTAAAGGTTGTATTCCGAATAATCACGATTTATTGAGTATTCACACTGATCAAAGTTCAGGGAGAAGTTCAATTATTATTCTCTGTAATAGTTAAAGGAAATCGCATACAATTCATTCGGTAAAATACTTTCGACCTAGTGAGCATGGTGTTATATATGAACTAAAACTTACTAAATAACCATTCACTGGCTGTTGTTCAAGCAAAGAATTTTTAAGGTTTTAACTTTTTTTTATTTCAAGTTTAAGCTAAGAGTAAATTAGAATATTTTTGTTCTTTAGTTGGTTAGTTCATTACTAAATACCATCATTAGTGGCATGATTTATAGTTAGAGGATTCATATAGTGTGAGTCCCAGACTCTCAGAGTAAGGAACCAAATTAAACACATGCTGATAATGTTAAGAAAGTTAAGCATTCTTAAACGGTCTTATTTATATATTCATGAGTCATGCAAAGCGGTCTATAACAGTATTCACACGAGCTGGAATAGAATATTTGATATACTTCAACTGCCTAACACAATAATGCCACATTTCGTTCTTCTGGTTTGATCCTATGGTCAGTGCTTTGGTTCTGACCAACTAAATAGTCTATTTACAGCTGAAAAGTTTTAGATGTTATACATGACCCAAAAAAATCGAAGTTTAAAACATTTACTCTCGTAGATAACAACGGTACAGTTTTAAAAATGAAAATTCTTAAACTAGTAGGAGTTAACGTTTTTCTGAAAATATGTTCAAATGAGCCATAAATAGAGGTACATTTACAGACTTTAGGATTTAAGGTGGAACTGATTTTTTCTAAAATAACATTTCAGCGAGCTTGGTGGCTCTTTTGTAGCATCAAAAAACAAATCGTATTATTTGGAGAATATTTTATTGTCTTCTCATCATTTGCTATACAGATTAGTGTTCCTAGATACTTTGTTTCTTAAAATATCACCACAATATGCTATTACAACAGATTTAGAACCTTATGACTTCAATATATTTCCTTACTCACAATCTATAGTCCATCTACGTAATCCCTCAAACTACATGTTTATCAGAAGTACAGTGTTTCATTGTATATGGCATATTAGTTTCGAAGTCGAATCTTCAACATTTCCATTGAGACATTTGAAAGGTTCGAGTGAGAAAGGATTGTTTTTAAAGTAGTTTTCAGCACAGCTCAGTACTAATATGTAGTTTTATACATTAGTATGAAATTTATTCCCAGTTAAATGATAGTGAGTAAACTAACTCCATAACAATAAAACGTCAACACTTGTCATGAAGTCCGTGAAAATGTATAATTTAAAATCATGTATTGGATTTCATTCAATTTTTTCTATGCTCACAAGTTTAACCTCATACGCACTGAGGGAGCCACAGAAATTCGCTCAAACAAACGTGACTCTTGCATTTGTAAAACTTTATGAGTCCTGTTTCTTAATCCAACCGTCGGAATGATATCAGACTTATTGATGGATGTTTCATTTTTGTTGCTTTGAATCAACTTCTACGATTAATATGTCTCTGCTTCTAGACTTAAGTTTACACTGTTTTTTTGTATTTTTATTCTAATGTAATTAGTTTTGTTAATTACCTACGTCTTTGAGCACTATATTCTATGCATTCAACATTAGCAACCAACTAGTATATGTTCTGGTTTATGATAATATTTATTTCGTTGCTGATTTTCTATATACTTTTAAACAGAAGAGCTTAGATCACAATATAAATTTGACAAACTCACCAAACTTAAACTAAGTATCAGAGTGTAAACATTATGAACGTCTAGATAAAAATGGGACCCTGATATGTAAATATTATCATTTGGTCCAAACCCAACGAATTTACACTTAACATACTTAGCTGCAACTAACTTTTTCCTTTCAATTTAACCAATAATATATGGTCGCTAAGCCTCCTACAGTAAGTGACTTACTTCCGAAGTTAGAAAAATTAATTTTGTTTTTAAGCTGCGGTTTATCAGTAGTATGTCCGCCATTTTTGTGAGCAGGTTGTTATTTATCACTAAAGAAGAATCCTTAAAAGTATATAACGCTTAATGACTTAGATATAATGAAATACCTGCTGTTTTTATATAAGTTTGCGTACAGTAAATAGAGTAGAGAGCACTTAGATATATAACATTGACGTCTTTTAAAAAATAGTGATGATTTTATGGAAGCAAAACTCATCAATAATGTATGATAAATAGTTTCACTGAAGGGATAACATCATAATTTTGATATACTTCCTAAAAATTACATTGAAACTTGGCTCTAAGTTTGTACTGAATGATATTGATCAGTATCATTTGCTCAAAAAGTATCATCCTATCTATAAGTCTTGTTTTCTTCTAAATAGATGATACAAGGGACAAGCCTGGTACACAATCCCTATTCATGGAATAAAGTGAGTCACTTTTTTCTAATTTTATGTAAAAAAAAGTAATTAATTTATCTTGTCGGGAAATTTCGTTAGTTTGGGAGAATTGAACTATACTTGGTGATTTGACCGAAACATAGTATTTTTTCAACTTTCCTACTGTCACATGATTAAGATCAAAACCTACTGGCGATAAAAAGACAGATTTTGTTTTCACCTTTCATTCAAAGTAGAATACAGAATATTGGGATCTACAAGTCCAATAATTGGCCTTCCAGTCCATCTTAATTTACTTCTCGATAGATTTCTTGGCAGTAAGTGTACAGTTCCACCGTCTTACCGCTGAAAATTATTTGTGTTTGTTTACGCCTAACAATATTGTGGTCATCATATCAGTACTCCGTAAACATCAAGCAAACACTAAAGGTCTCATGCAGTGTTCATCTCACCATTAAGAAGACATTTTTGGCTGTTGTAAAGATCGAAGTACTTAATAAAAATTGGTCCACATATATTGAAGACTATAACCTCAAGAGGTTTAGTTTCTACCGAGTTGTATCAAGTTGAAAATCCATTGTTTTCATATAGTACACTGATATCTCATGAAACTGAGTTATTTTCAAGATATAATATCTTAAAAAGCATTAAATGTTGAATAATAGTTAATTCTGGACAGGTTTTACAAGACTGAATTTGTTGTTCCCCGAACTACAGGAATGGGTGTCTCAAAATGAAATAAAATATATTGGCATATGCTCAAAAAGTAACCACTTACAGTTAATTTCAATTTTTGTACTGAAATGTAGTGATAAACATTAAGCAATACCATTAAACACCGACGTTTTTTTTATTAAAACTAAAATTTAGGAACTGCAAAATTTATACTCATTGTATTAATGTCAGTTTCACATATACAGATCTGACTCTGCCCATGATATTGGCTGTTGTTCTGATGTACAACACCTTTGAACTTTAGAGAAAAATATTTGCCGAATAATACTTAATTATTAGTCGAACACATATGGTGCCGGTGTGGTCTATATGAAAAGTATATAAGTACAATCATTAAATTCATGCAGGGGTTCGGTAATCTATGCCAAACTCAATATTTCATTTGGAATCTGAACACGGTGATAATTCTCACGGAGAGCTGATCAATTTTTCAGTAAAACGTAGTGTTTAGTTCTTTTAGGGTATTTCGACTTGCTTTTTAGAAGTAGTTTTGTTTTTTACTGTGAATATTTAGTCTAAGATAATAATAATACTACATAACAATTTTTCAGCACCAACAGTTTAGTTACGTAACTTAGTTGCATGATATTTTACCTTTGATACTGATTGTAAGATTTTCGTCATCGCTACCTAAAAAAATGGGATATTTGTTTAGTTAATTGGCTCAATGTAAACAGTTTTCTATGATCTCAATCAAGTCCACATTTAGAATGAAAGAATACTATTACAAAATTCTAATACAATTATTAGGTAAGTGTTCAGGGTGTTATTTATATTCCGACGGTAATCACTAGATAGATAAGGGAATGTATAAATTATATCGTGGCTTTCAAAGCAAAAGCTGTTGAAATTGTCTGCAACATGCCTGTATATTTTATTAACTCAGCTGTATCGTCACATAATTCAATACTGGTTTTGTTGAATATTCTGAGGTTACATAATACAACAATGATATCTTTATCATGTGTTTTTAGGTATGTATTCCACCATTCAGTTATCTAATCATAACGTGAAACCTGAATCACTGTACTCTCCTTCTTCCAGCTTTTTGCCCAAAAATTTAAAGCTAGTAAGGAATAACAAATTAGATAACCCCCTTGATTTTTCGTTTCTTTTAGTGTTCAGAATAATAAGGTAATAAGTAGGCTTTTACCTATCAGGATAAATATGAAAATTTGTTGACTCATCTAACTTGTGAATCAGAACTATCACTTGTATTGGTTGTTTAAATCTTCCCACTAATATTTAGAACCGCATCAGTCAGGTACATTAAGCTCATGAGTCCTAAATATGATGAAACGTACATTCGTGGTTTCCCTGCTAGCCACCACTGATCTGTCTTTATAACCTTGAATTTTCTGTAAAACTTCTTGTCAAGTTTTCGAAAAATTCGACTGCACTGACGATATTATGTTATCGTAATGCATGAAGTTTTATAGAAAAAAGCAAAAAAGAATTTTCCTTGGTATTTTATTAAAATTTAATCGAATCAACGTTAGTCAACCCTGAACAAAGACGTGAAGTGAAAATATTAATTAAATTAAGATAATTTTCGCAAACAACATTTAAATAATGATTGTTCTTGAAATATCAGGTTTGTGTACCACATACATGAAAGAGGTTATTGTCACATCAATTTTGTTTAAGATGTAACCAAAACTTTTTAATTTATGTAAAATTTGAAATTACTTGAAATGAAAAAGAAACTTTTCATTTAATAGTATCATTTTGATCAACTAAAGATTTGTAAAAAATATATACTCTTTTTTAATATCTTTTTATTTGTTTAGTTAGCCAATGTTTTATACCTAGAAGCCCCAGCCGGTGTAGGATTCTCATATGCTGTGGATAATAATATAACTACAGATGATGATTTTGTGAGTTTTGTAAACATATATTCATCTTTATGTACTAATTACTATTATTCATGAAAATAAGTGTTCACATTTTTAGATAGCAACAGGTTGTGCTTAAAATTAAGTAAACTATGCTCTGGCGCGAAGCTGGTAGGTCCTGTGTTCGAATCTCGCAAGGCGGGATCGTGGATGCGCACTGCTGAGGATTCCCACAACAGGACGAAACGGCCGTCCAGTGCTTCCAGTTTTCCATGGTGGTCTAGCTTCAACTGACTCATGATTTCAAGTATTTTATTTTTATTTTTATTTAAACATAAATATTGGTACAAGGAAGCACCAGATAAATATGCGCCACACAAATCTCATTTCATTTGTGTGAGGGCTGTGATACTGCTCAGGTACTTAGACTGAAGCAGGTGGTTTTCTTAGGGGGCCACACCACGATTTAAAGTATATATAAAAATTACTTAAAATCTCCACAGATAACCTCCTATTCAAATTATTGTTTGTTGTAAAGAAGAATGTGTATAACGCTTACCAAAGTGTGAATAGAACATGAAATAAAATAAACTAAGATGTGTTACTGATTTATAAAATGTGTAAAAGAGAGAAACTTTCAAATACTTCAAAAACAAATAATCGTCGGTAGTTAATCACAATGTGTACCACTACTACATAAACCAGAATTGTAAACGTTAGTCTAAATAATGAAAAGTTAACACTGGTCATACGTACGTTTATTATTTTATTATTGTGGGAGATCATTTTCAAATATAAATAGTGTTTGACTACATTTTTAATAGACTACAAAAACCCTTACATAATTTCATTAAAATCATGAACCGATCTACGTTGGACCATCATTGAGAACCTGGAAGCACTGAACGCCACTTCATTCTAGTATGGAACCCAGCGCAATTTCGTGAATTGATAGAAGGTACATAATAGTAGTCTAAAAGTTAGGCATTTATACGCGAGACCGAGGGTCTTGGTTTCAATTCTTACTTATAGGATCTTGGAAGGGCACTGCTGAGGAATCCCATACAGGGAAGAAATAGCCGTCCATTACTTATACATTTTCAGTGGTGGTCTACCTTAGATTACTTCTTAATTTCAATCAAGTAAAGATAGAACTTATTTCCTTGACAGAATTCGGTATTCATATAATTTGCCGAACTGCTATTCACAGAATAACCAGCAGTATTCTGTTAAGAAACAACAATGAATATGATTTGAAAACAATAAAGCTTTCGGTTGTATTAGGATCAAACCTGAAATATAGCTGTTCGTTGGATAATGAGATAAAATCAAGGCTTTTATATATTTATATATGGGTCAAGAATCGTACCGTTGAAGTTTTGTTGAAGTCCGTGTATTCCCACACTTTTATCATGCTCTTTGTTGTCACTGTAAATTACTAGATAAGTACGTAGGTCTTAATTTGTTAGAAGTTTGTGACAGACAGCTTTGCGCTAAGTTTTAATACGCTAAAATAAAACCGCTCATGAAAACCCACATTTTTACAGGTCCTTCCCGTTAATTCAATTTCAAGACATTGAACCAATCTATCTAAATGCTTTCTAAATAATTCGTTTTCGGCATTCAAATAATACTGTTGGTCTTTATTTGATACACGTAATTCAAGTTGAACACAAAATCTTCTGGCTCGTGACATTGCACAAACATATTTAACTGTCTTCAGAGGATAACTTACTTAGATCCGACGTGCATGAACCCTATCGATAATGACAAAACCTTTTAATTAATCATTTACAGAACAAGTGTTAAACGAACTTAGTAGTTATCTATGTTGATTGATTTTTATAAAGTTGACTGAACTAAAACAATTTCAGTAGTAAGATATAAAGAGATAGCTTACAATAACCATAGAGCAATTATTCACTAATGTGAATTAAATTTCTGAAGTTTACTACGGAGATTATTCATAGCGGTATCATAAGCATTCAGAGAGCTTACGAAACTCTCGTAGACTAAGTTGAGACATTAGTCTAATATTTTAACCTATTTTCTCTTAATCATCATTTAAATTTATCTAACAGCTTTCATTACTGTTTATAGGATTACTTATTTCATTGTTCAACTCATTTGTTTAGTTATTTGTTTCATAGATTTAAATAAATAATAAATTTTATCATTATTATTAAATATTAATAATCATCAATATAGTGACTTATATTCCAATTTATTGTAGACAGCATTAAACAACTACCATGCTTTGTTGAATTTCCTGAAAAGATTTCCAGAGTATTATCAACGAGATTTTTATATAACTGGAGAGAGTTATGCTGGTGTGTATGTACCTTTATTAGCCTTACATGTTATTAAATCAGCACCACTTAATTTAAGAGTAAGTTATTAACATTTTATTTAATAAACAATTATTTTCACAGTTAAATTCATGAGTCGATATAAGCTAGACCACCATTGAAAATTTGGAAGCATTGAACGGCCACTTCGTCCTGGTATGGAAATCAGTAGTGGGACTCGAACCAAGGACCTTCGGTCTCGCACGCAAACACTTAACCTCTAAACAATTGATTCGTCTATGGTGTTATTATTTGATTTCAAACAATCCATGATCCTGCACAACCCATTATCCACTGTCTGAAGTGGATAACTATCTCACGCTCAACACAGACTGAACTCCACTGGTCACGATTTCTCACTAGAACTTTAGGAAGTTCATCTTGAAGCTAGTCACCAGTGAGCACATTACTATTATTATTATGAGGATTTGTGGAGATTGTAGTATTTTCACCGTCGTTTAAGTATTATGATAAATTCTTTAAAAATTTTCTAATCTTTTCTTTTATTTAATGACAATTGTAAAATATTTCATCCTAAGATTATTTATTTGAATACCATCTCTACAACACTGATTTCTTATTAATTTTATTTTCATTTCAATAAAATTCAATTAATTATTAAATCTAATTTTCAATAAGTTGATTATTAAAAAACTTTTATATATATGTAGTATATTAACTCTTTTGACTGAATTTCTATTTTGATTTATTAAAATTTTAATTATCAATTAAAAGGTTTTAATTACTTTTTTCTCCATATAAACAAATGCTTCAATTGACTTATTATATAATTAATTATCGGTTAAGTGCTCTAGCGCGAGACTAGTAGGTCCTCGGTTCGAATCTCGCGACGCAGGATCGTGGATGCGCACTGCTGAGGAGTCCCACAATAGGACGAAACGGTCGTCCAGTGTTTCTAGGTTTTCCATGGTGGTCTAGCTTCAATTGACTCATGATCTCAACTATATAAACTTAATAATAGTTAAACATTTCTATTCATTATAAAATATCTGATGCAAATAAATGTAGACTTCAAAATGAATTCAACTACATAACTTGATCTGGTTGTTTTGAATTCACTTTTTTAGGTCATGTTTTTATGACTACAAATTAAGTTGATTATTGTAGCTGTAATTTATTTGATCTGATTTGTTTGTTGTAAGAAGTTGTTCTGTTTTTTTTGTTTTTTTAAATGATTTTTGTAGGGCATTGCTATTGGTAACCCTTTAACGAGTTATAAATTTAATGATAACTCCTTATTATACTTCATCAAATACCATGGATTAGTATCTGAGAGGTATGCCATTTAGAAATAAGTAATTTTAGTTTTATCAGTATGGAGATTTGTGAAAATTTTAGTATTTTCATTGTTGAAAACACGAATTAATCTAGGCTAGACCGTCATTGAAAAACTGAAAACATTAGATGGTCGTTTTGTTCTGGCATGTGACTCGTCAGTAGTGCGCTGCGATCGAACGCAGAACTTTCAGCGTTGCATGAGAACGTTCAACCTCAAGACCACTGAGCCGCCATCCAATGATATTAACATCTAACTTCAATGCCGGCTAAGTGGCCTGGAAGTTAAGCGTCCATGCCCGAGACTGAAAGTCCTTAGTTCGAATTCAGCGTAGAAGATCGTGGATGAGCAATACTGAGGAGTCCCATGGCGAGACGAGACGGTCATCTGGTAATTTCAGGTTTCCAGTAGTGATCTAGATTAAATCGATTCATGATTTCAATGAAATTCATCAATCTCCACAATCCCATACTCATGAAATGAATTTATTTCATTCTGTTATGTTCATTATTTTTGCTTTAGTCAAATATGAAAATTCTTTGTTTAAAACCTTAACTATATAATTAAACTATATTCTCCTTATTGAAATAGAATATGGAATGATTTGCTTGGACACTGTTGTTACAATCAATATTATAGTCATTGTATGTTTACTGAAATTTCATCAGATAAATGTCAACATCTAGTAAGTTATATTCTCTATTTATGATAATGCTTATTTAAATTACTTATTCTGTTCAATAAGTAGATACATATCACAATTGATTGATCATTGGGTGGTGATCAATGTCATGAGTGTCAAGTCATTCTTAGTGCTGATCGAATGCCATCGATCAAGTTGCAATGTGGCCACTAGTCTAGGAGGCTCGACACTGCGTGCACTATGTTAAGATAAGATGGTGGTTGGAGGTGGTCAACAGGAAACCCTGGACCCGGGTTTCGTGCTACTTGGCACTTGTCAGCAAGGTGTACCTGTAATCTTGAGGGAACTGGTGCTCCCTGACGGATCTGATCCCGTTTCACTCAGTGGATACATATATTTACTTAAATAAAATGATATTCTTTTTGTAATCTGTTTTAATGGCGAGGCGGAGTAGTTATACTGTATTCCATTAACAAAGGTCATCCTGAAAAAAAAAAATTCCACTTAATGGGATTTTCTTTATTACCGCTGAAATAGCATGATAATTATTTTTAGACTTTTAACTTTAGGAATGAAAATTTAGTCACACCGATTAATCTAGTTCGTTGATGTATGAAATGTAAACATTCGGTTGAACGATAACTGATCTGAACTGTGTACAAAGTGCAAAATAGATATCAGATGAGAAATTCAGATTTTTTGTAAATCTTGGACTATAGATCCTGAATTATATATCAAAAGATTGAGTAGATTATTCTAGATTCATTCACTTGATCTTTTCTACTTAATGTAAATTATCTCTGTACTTCAATCTTTTTGTTTTCTTTACTGAAATGACAAACTGACCTAAGTTAAACACTCATTGAGAAACAGGGGTCCTGCCTGCTCATTGCTAAGAAGTTCCATATTGGGACGAGAAACCTGTCCACTACTTTCAGGTTTTAAATGGTTCGTAAATTTAGGCTGGTACGTGATATTTATAATAATCAATAATTTATAAAAACTTCTATACTAGAGAACCCCAATTTTAGCCGCACTTTTTCACAACATTACATTTATTCGACAACTAGATAACTTTATTTCTAATTCGTATTGTAATCAAAACATACAAAATGTAAGTGGTTATGTGCAAAAATTGTAATCTCAGATGAAGTTCGAACCAGTTTACTGGACAATACATTAGACTTACTACGATTTCGATCCCCTAGATCATTCAAATACAACTTTTGCATTTAATATCTTCCATATACTTAGGACCAAATTTCTATCAGTACCTCCAATTTTTCAATGATGGTCTAACATTGATCAGTGTATGGTTTCAATGAAATTCTCTTAAACTATTGGTTCAGATTTTAATGGGTTTTCATAGAAAATGATTACATTTGTTATGTAATCGAATGAAGATGTATCAATGTACATAATGAGCAAAAATTCAGCCTTCTGATTTGAATAAATAACAAAAGCGAATGGTCTGTGAATTGTCATCGTTTTTCTATCTGCATAACACGGCTTAAACCATTTATGATATTCAAAAACAACCTGAAAGTGAAATCATTTTCGTAATGTTCCATATGTGTATGGAGACAATTTAATGTTATCAAAACGTATCAATTATCTCACTTTATAAATTTTACGAACCGAAAACTTTACATTTAACAGTCGTAAGAAAACTAAATCATCTTTAACTATCAATATTATTGATTACCACATGTGAGAAATTTGAAGGTGCGATTCTTTTCATCTTCCTCACTGTTATTACATGTTTCAGAGAATTTAAACTCAAGGAAGTAGTAGTAGTTGTTGTAGTGGTAGTAGTAGTTAAGTTTTGTCTAACGCACAAGAGTTCTTTAAGGATGGCTCGTTAGCAAGGAAGCCTCAAGAAGCCTAGAAAGAGCTAAAGACATTCCATTCAATCACCACTAGGGGAAAATTCTATAATGTCGATGTGCAGCTTCTCTATTGGATGAATAAGAAGGACCCCATATGTGCCTGTTGGCTGTCCGAAATGTTGATTTACTTTCAGCCAAAAACTATAAATACATGAGATTTTTGTACTATATTTGACACTGTTTGGAGAATAACATTCCTACTTATTAGTCTTCTTTCTTCTCTCTTGCGACGTTGCGGATTCGATCGTTCAAGTAGTCTAGTAGTACGCGGCAAAGCAAGAATCTAAAGCTCTAGATATAACAAGTTCATTAACTATCCATGTTACTGTTAAGGCTCTTGCAAGAAAATATCTATAAATACCGATAAGTTGTATTTCTATTACAAGAAAGATAATATTTACGAAGTCATATTAGTTTTACACTTTTAATTAGAACACTTCACAATGCCTATGCACAGAAACTTTGTTATAACTAAAATTTTATTCCATTCGTTTTATGAAATAAATAACACACTTATCAATATTTACCTTCCATTATCGTAATTTACTTTTATGTAATTCATTAGTTAAAATATCCCATTGTTAATCAATGATTCAAGGTTTTAAATGTTTGTTTGTTTGGCTCGCCGATTAGAGAACAGTGAATTTATTGATCGCCCAATGATACACAAAGCCGTATGAGCAGTCTTGAGTACTTATCAGTCCCGCTTTCTGCCTAGCCTAGCCAGTTAAGTCCACAACACCAATAACAACCTCGGCAATATGAATCGTTATTCTTAAACATACTGAGTTTATATTACCAAACAAACTGACCATATCGTACCATAAAATAGAAAATAATATTTGTACAAGGTTTGGCCAAATGTGGTTGTGAATAGGGGGAACAGTAATTAGTGGACTGCGGGTAACTCATGAATGGTAAATCGTATAATAATAGTCTATGAGTCAAAATAAAGCTTATAATAGAAGGAACCCGAATATGAATAGTTTAGTTACTTAACAATTATACAATAGGAAATATATATATCTTATTGGTCTATAAATAGTCCTCAGAGTTACCATTCATAATTCTCCACGGGATATAACAATGTTGACCTAGGTAAAAACCAGTTCATAGAATAAACTATACAAATGATCAAAGTTCATTATTCTCTCTCAATTAATTGTAAACATTTTCCTTCAATGTTACATAATAAGCGTAAATATTAACGAAAAGGCTGAATGTTTACTTTATCTCTTTTTTTAATCATTGTTCTTTTTTTATTAGTTTTGTAACAGTTTTATTAAAAATAAAAAAGAGGTGTAAGGATATTAATTAGTAGTATAGCAATATAGTGTTGGAGAGATGATATATAGAGACAAAGTTAAGATGAATATTTCCTGTGAAATTTCTGTCTTATAATTTATAATGTAGTTAACTGGCATTCTTAGGAATCATTAGTTTTGAAACTTGTACTGATGACTATAACTACGCATAATTAGGTGACAATAATATTCACAAATTCTGCAAAGTTGAAATCATGAGTCCATTGAAGCTAGACCACCATGGAAAACCTAGAAGCACTGGACGACCGTTTCGTCCTATTAAGGGGCTCCTCAGCAGTGCGCATCCACGATCCCGCCTAGCGAGCGAGATTCTAACCCATGACCTACCAGTCCCGACCAGAGCCCTTAACCAGTAGACCACTGAGCCGGCATCCAACGGTGTTAATGTCTAACTTCAACCGATCCACGAATTATGAGCGACCATTCACCAATTGTCTTCAGTGAGTTGTTATCTCACAACGGACGTGGTTGAACTCCACTGGTCACTGCTTCCCACTAGAACTCCAGGACATGTATCTTGAAGTCAGTCACTAGTGAGCATATGATTATAATCAGAAGGGGTTTTGTGCTTCCAGGTTTTCCATGGTTATCTAGCTTCAATTGGCTCATGATTTCAACTTTGAAAAATACTGAAATCTCCACAAAACCCCTTCTGATTCACAAATTCATAAGTCTCTGTATTCACCGTAGATTACATGTACATTGGTTAACATATATGTTTGGTAAATTGATATGTTATTAAAATTTTCATAATTACTGTGAAAATATTATTTTAAAGTATAACTCGAGAACTTATTTCAGTGGTTTATGAACATATTGGATTTCAAGATGCAACTCCTGAAGTTCTAGTGGAATGCCGTGACCAGTGGAGTTTAATTGTATCAATTTTCAGACACTCACCTATCGAAGACAATAGAAGATGATCGCGCAGAGTTAAGGACTATTTGAATTTAGACACTGACACCGCTAAATGCTTCCTCAGTGATTTAGAGGTCAGGCGTTCACTCACAATTCTAAAGTTCCTCATTTCGATCTCCATGTTCGGGGTCGTGAATGAGTACTAATGAGAAGTTTCATTTTGAGGATGAATTAGCCGTCCAGGGTTTCTAGATTTTCATTGGTTGTCTCAGACTAGTTCATAATTCGAATAAGATTTCCAAATTATCCCTTTATTTTTTTATTACACTTTAGATTGATTATATTCTCAACAATTCAACTTATGGACTAAATATATACAATTTGTATGATTCCTGTGGTTATATCAATAATACTACACAACAAAATACCGAATACCTTTATCCTTTTTCTAAAATTAACCCATCTTCCGGATCATTTATTCACAGTGATTTCGGTAATCTTTTTAGAAGTAATAAATATGTTCAAAAAAAGCGCGAAAAATTGTAAGTAATAAAATAAAACTAGTTTATTCAATAGTCTGTTTTATAATAAAATCGAATTCGGCACTTTCATATTTCAAAATTTACACATTACTATATCTTGATTGAGTAAATACATTTATATTTGTTAGTTGATATGTACCAACATATTAATGAACTATGAGTGATTGACTAATAATAAATAGAGTGTAATTTTAGTTAGCAACCAAAAGATTTGAACTGTTTGTTGTGTGGTGTGAGTTACTTATGTCCACATAAGTAGTATATGGTATTGGTAGGGCATTGAATGTATTTTGACAGATCTATAAAGAAAGAACAGGAATAAAGCGCAATCAGTATGAAAATGCATGAACAATGAAATCAGAGAAGATGGACTTATATTTGCAGAAGGAACAGTGAGGATTGAAACAATTGATTGTTATTTTGCAAATTAACTGTTTACAGTATGGTTATCAGAATTTAGTGAGGTAGTCTGCTTAATTCTCTGCGGTTGTAGTGCCTTTATTGATCGACATCATTTCCACTTATTCATTCATTTGTTATTTGATAAAAAGCAAAAACGTTATTAATATTTCGTATCTTAATATATATTAAAAAAGACTTGTATGTAATTTTTAGAAGAATTGGGGTGCGGTAAACTTTAATGTTAGTCCTTCTGTTTATGTATTTGTTTGCAATATAATAATAATCAGACATAAATAATGAAGAGTTTGCTACATTTATATGTTGCCCCCAAGTGCCCTTGTACGGCTGAGAGTGTGGAGAGTCAGCTCTCCCTCTCGAAATGCTCTCACATGGCCATGTGCATACAATCACTGCCACGGAAGTCCTATTCACTACCTTCTCATGGCATTACTGTTGTTTACAAAATTGAGAGACCGAAAAGCAAATATCCGGCGCTTTAACCGGGTTGGTGGACACGGAGGATCCACCTAGGGGAGTTGGAAAACCCTCATTCCATCTCCTTACGATGCTCCACTGCCTTGTGGATCAGACCTTTAGATTAAAGGCCCCGGGTGTGACCCCCTAGGAAAACCACCTGTTTCAGTTTGGGTACCTGGAGAGTATCAAAGCCCTCAAACAAATCAAATGAGATTTTTGCGGCGCATATGTATCTGCTGCTTTCTTGAACTAATATTTATGCGTTTAAATAAATCTAAAATAATAATATATTGGCTTAAGCTGGCAAATCACATTAGCACTACAAGATAAATCTAAATAAATAAATGGGAAATAAATCGGAATTATAGAGTAGTAGTGATTGTGATAGAGACTGAATATTGAGGATAGGTCAAAAAGACAAAATAGACTAATGTGTACAAAGAAATGCTAAAGCTGAAGACACAGATGAAAATAAAGACTAAATAAAGTATGGTACTATGTAAGACAATATCAGTGGAGTGTTAATCATAAGATGTCTTGGCTTTGCAATGGAGTAGGATCGTTATTTTCCCTAAAAGAAAATAATACAAATTTAATTTAAGAGTGGTGAATTCAATCAATAACTTAACAGTAAGTCACTTCTTTTAATGTCGATAAATAATCGACGTGAATTATTATCATTATTTTTATTTGATCATACCAAAGATGTTTATACAAATGTGAAAAGTGTAATGTCTGCAAATCAGACCATGAAAATTAATGTGGATTATGATAATTGTGTTTTAAACATTAGAATATTAAGATTCATTTATATTGGTTGTTGAGATCGATCCATTGATGTTTGGGACTGCAATTGACCAGTCTCTTCTGTCATATGTGCATCCTGTGCGAGTTGGTGTGACTGCTGCCTTAAGTCAAAATTATTATAGGCAGAGATAAATGGGGACTAGCAACGGAATTCAGGACTTGCGTTTCGTTACAGGATGAAAATCAATTCTGGGATGCAGGTATATCTAGGTGACGATAACAAAATAGGACGAAACAGGCGTCCTGAGTCCCATTGCTAGACATCACCCAAGTCTATTTAGACTAGTTAACAGTAACAAAAAATCAAAAATAAAAATATAAAACAGTTAAGTGACAACAGCTTTAAGTGCTAAATGAAAAAGATAAATAGAAAATGTATTTGTGTGATTTTTGTTTCACATGGCACATGAATGTTATTCAAAGGGATTCAGTTGACCCTCTCTGAATAGGACAGAATGTATCTCTTAGATCTCTTAGCTCATATTTCAATAATATTTCCATAGACTTTTAAAGAAATTATTGTTCTCTAAGCCATTTTTAGATTCACTCAAATCTACCCACCCAAATAAAAATTCATATGATATGACTAAACAGTGACCGACACGTCAAGTGTCATTCTTGAAATAGGAGTGGATAAAAACACGTTCTCAGTGAATCAATGAGAATATGAAGAAAAACAATGGAAATAGTTATTTTTCATTAGTTTTTTTTAGTTATCTAAACACTATTTATAGCTTACACCTACTTATAACTAATTTCCAATGGTTTGATTACTAATAAAAATAAAGTGGTTGAGGAAAAATGCTGAGTCGTGACACGGTCTCATATTTTTTTAACAATTTCATGCCATGTGATTGTTTTGTTGTGTTTTAGACTACCCAATACTAAGTACGGTTTACTTATTGAGGCCTATGTAAGCGAATGAGCTGATATAATCCAGCTGCATCAGGTGGTTATTCATTGAAATTTTCTCTTACAATTTATACCATAAGCGACTAAGTTAGATGATTCCCGATGTTTAGAAGATTGTTTTAACATCTAACACTGGCTAACATTTCTTAACGGTCTTCCTTCTCTTTTTACTATTACGAGTTTGTGGAGATTGTTGAAATTTATAGAAATTATGAGCTGATCTGTGTTAGCTAACCATTGAAAATGTGGGAGTACTGACCAGATCTTTCGCATTGTACGGGAATTCTCGGCAGTGTGCATTCACAACCTTACCACTGTGCACCAAATTCAGGACCTTCGGTCTTGCACATAGATTAACAATTTAATCAACATAATTATTAGATTATAGATTTATTTTATTAAGCAACATAAGAACGTTGATAAACAATCTTCAGATGCCCTATAGCCATCATTACACCTAATGTTTTCCCGATATCGTTTCTACTTGTTTGATAAATGACCACACGATATATGTAGTGTACAATTCGACTTTTAAATGTAATGCATGCCCTTTATGAAAATATCAACACTGTGTTACTCATTTTATAAATTAAACAAAACGATAACAAAAGCAATCCGATATACTATGACTAAATCATTTTTAGAAATTTAATTAGAGTTTGACATAGAATCAGAATAAGTTTTAAAAAGAACATAAAGAGTATTGTAGTGAATGAACACTCAAGTGGAGTAAACCAATTTATTTTCTGTTCAAAATTACAGTGTCTTAGTGAAATATAAAAGCCATACGTTTAATACATTATTTGCACATCTTTCATCATTTGTCTCTTACAAACTTCACCGTTCCTTCACTCCTGTTATTATTGTAATTAATCTCTATTTACATTTCTGTTCTCTTCGACTCGATCTTCGCAACTTTTTGCTTTAAGGTATTTCACTTCTGATTGGTGTTACATACTACTTGTGTCGGCAGACATAAGTAGTATACACCACAGTATAATTATTTAAGTGTTGATATGACAAACTGACAATCTATGAATCGCAGCTGACTAAAGCACTTAAGACCAAGTAAACTCTTAAATAAATGAAACATCAAGTTCCATGACAGATATGTCGAAAGTTTTTTTAGTTACTGTCTTTTAGTAAGATTAATTCTTACACGGTGGAGTTTCTAGCCACACGTTCAACACTCCTACTTTATCCAGGATCAGAATCGACAGTAATACTGGAGAGCCTCCAGACATTGCTAAGCACCAGGGACCTAAACCAGGCATCAAGATCATGTGAACTACTCATCAGTAATAATAGAAGTGAGCCCATAATAGAGTTTGTTGATAATTTCTAGTCGGTAGTCTATGGCCTAAGAAGGACAACGGGTTTGAGTAAGTTTATAAGTACTACCAAAGATCCATAACTATAAGAAATTGGACTGTAGAAAACTCAATTTGTTCCCAGAAAAACAATTTCCTCATAATTAACGTTTAAATTTTAAAAGCATTACTTTATGATATCTAGTCAATAATAATAAATATCAAATCATCAGAACTAAGAAATGACGAAATAATATTGAAATCTATTTAGTACATTACTGACAGAAAGAAAGAATCAGGACAGATATACTCGAACTTTATATATATTAGAGATAATAATGAAAAGAATTTACTGATGAATTACAATTACATATCAACTGCATAACACTCTACTATTTTATATCAACCCGATATCAATCTGATTCTCCTTCAACAAACTTTCCATTATTTCATTATTAGTGACATAACGGCAAAACAATAATCTATCCATTTACCAAGTTATACCACTTTTATACGACAATACGACCTGTGCCCAAGATTATGTGACCACTAGACTTGATACTCAATCGATAGGCTATACACAGTCTGGGACCACGTTATATCAGATGGACGATTCAAGAACAAATATAGAAAACCATAGCACAGGCTGAACAATACAATATTCAATACAATTAACGACATTCTACAACTACTGAAGTTCAGTAGGGAAGTCAATAACAAGACGAAATTCATGTATTAAATAGTTCATTAGCTGAGTATCTGTCTATTCATGTCCAATGACAAATTATATTTAACTTTCACTTGCCAGACATTAATTAGAATGCTTTGAATTTTGAAATTCAAACTTTTATTTAAAAGCTATGATTGTCTTGTAAAAATCCAGAATAATATCTGACAATAATCACTTGCATGATACATCCGACATAAGTCAGCAGTAATTTACTTATTGTCGGATATTACTTGGAATAATTACAGTGAAAAACTTTATGGTGAGATAATAAAGTGTTTTTAACCGATAAAATAACGAAATACTTTTACTGCACTCTATTTTTAATTAGAACTTCTGAAATAATGAGCTATTTTTTCTTCATTTTTTACAGAATGCAGATCCGAGAAAAAAATGGAGTGAAATTAGTCCTACCCTGTGATGATGACTTGATTGTTAGTAAATATTTGAATTATCCGTATGTACGTGAAGCAATTCATATGAAGAAAGGTGTACCGAAAACCTGGGTAGAATGCAGTGATGAAGTTATGGCAGCTTACAAACGGAATTATCAAGATATGATTCCTCAGTACAAAAAGATTCTTAAATCACAGGTAATAAATGGGTGGTATTCATTTTATGTATTCCATTACACTGAAATTAGTTAAGGTCTGTGAGATATGTAAAACGTGCTTGTTGGTATTCAATCTTGGTGATTAGAAAACAAACGCGTTATGCATTGTCATATGCTGCCGAAATTCCCTCGTAAATAAAACACATTGAAGGAGCTTTCAGACATTCACTTTACCCTTTCTTAGTTTTCGTATTGAATAATAATACAAGATATGTAACTCACTCAAAACTTTAGCCAAATTAAGGCAAATAAAACCAACGAAAAATCTTTGTGAAGTAGATGGATTTGTAACCAGCAGGGGAATCTAGGATGCCCGTTTTGTTCAAGTTGAGACTTGCCATTTGGAAATATCTATATCCCAGTGTTAATATTCACACGAGGGCTTGAACACATTACTTTTCGTTTCAAAAATTAACGCGCTATCCACCGAGCTACTGAATCCATATGGCCACTCACTTGTTTGGACGAGTCTCAAATTGGATGAAATGCGCATTCTGGATTCCAATACTAGCCACAAGTTTGTCTGTCCTATAAAAACTACTGAATAATATCTACATTGAGGCAATTTGTACATAGCTAAAATGTAGTGAAGATTATCAACAAGATAATTCAAATTCTTTTTGAATAATGATATAACAGAATATCACTTAATTTTGTATAAACAGTCGATTTTAATTCAATGAAAAAAAGAATGAGCTAGTCCTCATTGTATGAACATATTGAACCAATTGTTGCTTTGTAATATTTCTCCTGATATGAACAACAATAAAACCCTTTAGCTTTTCTTATCCAAAACATTAATATCCATCATATTCCCCATAAGACAATGTGTAGTGTATGCTACTTGTAGACAGATATATGTGGTATGCAACACCAATCAGATGTGGTAGATCTGGCAACAGAAGGCTGGGAAAATTGAATTGAGAAAAAGAGAAGAAATTAAAAGGAATTGGGAATTTGAAGAATCATACTGAATGCAAAGGACAATTGATGGAAGATGTGCAAACGAAGTATTTAATGTATGGTTCTCATATTTTACCAAGACCTTCTGTAATTTTGTATTACACAACAACTTGGTTATTCCCTCCTAGTCTTCGTTCACCACAAACGCAGTTCCAACTTATTCACTAAAGAAATAATATTTGGAACTTATCTTGAATTTTCAGTTGAAATCACTTACTGACTTTGGCTAGTTCATTAATGAAAATCTGGAAGCAGTGGGAGGTCTTTTCGTCCTCAGATCGGACAGCTTGAATTATTACTGAGTTTTAAAGGATTGATATAAACTAGTAGCTAAGAATTTAAATGACAGTTATTCCCTACTTTGATTGATAAAAAATCTCATATCATTAGAATTTTAATGTTATGAAGTAATAATTATGATGATGTCATTGTCTGTTTATTCGGCATCCGGCATTACATTTAAAGCCTTGAAATAAACAGTCTGTTAAAAACAGTAACATAAGCAATAATAACAACTAGTAAACACTATTTAAGTGACGGACAGACCTTAATTAGATAACTTATACACAACAAGGAAAGAATGGGCAACTGTTTTTTTTTCTGGTATACGACTCCTCAGAAGTTTAAAATCTATGATCCACATATTTATCTAATGCAGAACATTCGGGTCTAGTGGGTAACTCATGACCATTAGACAACTTAGTCGGGATCCATTGAATTAAATGTGTAGCTTAAATCAATTCACCATATTGCGTAACAGTTTTGTAACTTGATCGACGAATAAGTATACTACACCTGACATGACTGAACTACATTATTCACGGCTTCTTATTGGAATTTCAGTAGTTACACCCCAAAATCTATTACTAATGAACAGATAATTATTACTTCAAGGGTTTGTTGATGGAAATTATGAACTTTAACAGTTCCCACAAATACCTTACAACGATAATAAATATAAGTGAATGAAATAACTAACTATAAGGATCGGAAATGTTTTTACCAACTTTATATACACATACGTATGTTTATGCATCAGATTTAGGTGGTTGAGGGTAGTCAGTAGGAAATCCTGGCTGATCCCCGTTTCGATCTAGTTAGCACTTGTTACCGAGATCTAATTGCAGTGTAATGAGAACCGATGCTTACTATGGTATTCAAATTCACATCAACCAGTTTCACAGCCTGATAAGTTACCGTTGATTTATTCGGGCTGGTAGTGACTTCCTATGGGACAGAGATATTTACAAATAATTAATCACTACGTAGTAAGTAATGTCAAGTTTTTCTAGTCTTGTTTATTCTTGACCAAGTTCTGTCGATCGAATTACAATAAGTTCACCACTTAATGATCATCATAACACTATATGCATCTCTATAACTCTTGAGATTCAAATACTTTGTACTTTGAATACATTCAAAAGAATGTTTATAAACACTAATAATATTGAACTTTGATTTCATTCCTTCATTATCTTATAATAATTAGTTTCATTACAACTTATGGTACAATTATACTATTGATTAGTTTTATAATCAACTTTTTTATATCTTCACGTTAAAGGTTAACAGTTAGAAATATTCTTTTTACCTGTAAGAGAAAATGATGAACATATTAAACTAAGTATCTTAAAGTTACTTCTATGAGTTAGTGATTATCATGTAACTGCGTATATGAAGCGTCATTATTTATTTCTTATTGACAACGTATTCACAAAGCTAACTACGAAGAGACACACAGTTTCATATTATAAGACTAATTTTAGTGGTCATTATGCACACAATATTCAGTATTGCAGTTTAAGAAGTCGTCTGGAACAGTTCATCAATTGAATGTATTGCCCCGTATATGGATATCAGTTACTCACCTTAGATATCATCTATGCGTTATTTTTATACCATATTCACAGGCATTCACTATTTCACGTATTTTTGTAATCCTCAACATAGGTTAACTGATAAGTGATGCTGAGTAAAGGATGTAGATTTAAGACATTTTGTGATATTGCTTCACATATTTCCCTTTAAATTCAGTCGATAATGGTGCATTTAAGTTATCATAATAATCTCGCAATATTTCTTGCTGCCAGTTCTGAAAACTGAAAAATGAGGTTGTTTACTAGTTTTCGGGTTATTTGTTTAGGACTAGCATACAAACGTATTTAACTATTGTTGAACAGGTATACTAAGTGGTGTTTCTCCTTAAGGTGTTAGTGGCATCATATCATTTTTTCGGAGTCAACCAGGTACTTGGAACAAGTGTGACTTAATAAGAAACTGATTTTTTCATTATAAAGTTGTGGAGATAGTTGAATCTCATCGAGATCATGAACCGATATAAGTTAGAGAATCATTGAAAAACCTGAGAAAGCCGAATAGCGTTTCACCCTAGTGTGGGACTTCCCAGCACTGCTCGTCTACGATTCCACCAACAGGGATCAAATTTAGAACCCTCGGCCTTGTGAGCAGGCGTTTGACCTTTAGACCACTGTGCACCATTATGACCTGACTTAGTGATCTAGAGGTTAAGACCTCATCACGCGACCAAAGGTCATATGTTCGATTTCCGATGACAGGATCATGGATAAGTCCACTGTAACAGTGGACTTTCTGGAATCGAACAACAACTTTTATATACTGATTGATTAAAGTCAACAATTTGTTTGATTCACTTGTTATTCTCTTATGAGGGCAATTAATCTACTATTATGAAAACTTTAGCAAGTATTTAACCTACTGGTCTTTTATATACATATTTCTATAGATCCCAATACTTATTTACAATGGCGATGTCGATATGGCCTGTAACTTTATAGGAGATGATTGGTTTGTTAGTAATTTGAATTTTAAAGTAAGCTTTTTTAGAGAACATTTTTATAATTAAAAGAAGGAATATAGATGTTTTATTTAATAAATATTATTACAAATAAGAGTTTGAATATTTGTTCATTGCTAGGTTTCTACTTATGTTCTAACTTGGACATCACAGGGCAAAACTAATCGAGTAGATTTACACTCATAAGATTGTCTCTTGTAAAAGGAAACTAGGTGATGTTAAAAGTAATGAAATGAAAGGACATATCCATTTATAAGTTAGGTGATTTGAAATAATCAACAAGTAAACTCTGACGCTTGTCAGTAAGTTTTATCTGTAATTTTATAGGAAATGATAACTCTTGTAAAATCCTGTCCCTCGTCAACCAAATTCACAGTCTAATAGTTTATGACTGAGTTATTCGAACTTTTAGTGACCCTATTTATAGGACTGAGATATCACGTTGCATTGATGTCCCTTCAATGTGAACATGTTGACGTTTGATTAGAAGATTTAAAAAAAAGAAGAACTAATAAAAACGTTAATTGCTGCCACTTGATACACTTAAAGGTTGGAATACTGAAGAAAAACTTGAGATTTATATTGAAATACTAAAATAATAGACATTATATGCAAAAAATATTATATTTGAATCATCTCAGCAACTGGAACTTTTAAAGTTTATTTATCTGTGATAATTTTATTTTTTGAATAGTTGAATTCATGAGTCGATGTAAGCTAGATCACCACTGAAAACCTGGAAGCATCTGACGGACATTTCGTCCCAGTATGACACCTCTCAGCAGTGTTTATCAACGATCCCGCATGAGGGACTCTAATCCAGGACCTTGGGTCTCGCGCGCAAACACTTAATCTCTAGGCCACTGAGCCGACATCCAACGGTATTATTGCTCGACTTCAATCGATCCATGATTTTGCACAACCATTCATCCATTGTCTGAGGTAGATACGTGTCTCTACCTGACACAGATTGGACTCCATTGATCACGGGTTTTCAATATAACTTCAGGCCCTGAGTTCGAGTCCGTCTTTCAGTGTCGTGGATCCATACTGCTCACGAGTCCCATACTAAGACAAAACGGCAGTCCAGTGTTTCCAAGTTTTTAATGTTGGTCTAGCTTACATTGACTCAAGAATTCAACTATTAAAATTACTACAATTTCCATAAACCCCCATTCTGATCATAGTTTTGTTTTCGATTATTTTCTTCGAGAAGTACCGATCAGTTTAATTGATGGAACTTTGAAATAACTTAAGATTTCAATCGTTCATATTGTTCAAACATAATGTTTACAGATGATGTTTTCTTTGTATGTATTCGGAATATATATATATAAGGATAGAGAAAGAACAACCGCCAACTAATTTCAAAGTGAGAATCTTCAATACGAACGTCAAGACAGTCCTACTGTACGGAGCTGAAACGTGGAGAACTACTACGGCCATCATCAGGAAGGTACAAGTATTTATAAACAGTTGTCTACGCAAAATACTCAACATCCATTGGCCGGATACTATCAGCAACAGCCTTTTATGGGAGAGGACAAACCAGCTTCCAGATGAGGAGGAAATTATGAAAAGAAGTTGGAAGTGGATCGGACATATATTAAGGAAATCACCAATGTGCATTACAAGGCAATCCCTAACTTGGAACCCGGAAGGGAAGCGGAAAAGAGGAAGGCCAAAGAACACATTACGCCGGGAAATAGAAGCAGATATGAAAAGGATGAATAACAATTGGAATGAACTGGAAAGGAAGGCTCAGGACAGAGTTGGATGGAGAATGCTGGTTAGCGGACTATGCTCCTCGATGAGGGGTAACAGGCTTAAGTAAGTAGGTAAATAGAGAAAGAAAGAAGGGTAGATAGATAGGTAAATAAATAACATAAAAATAATCTCCGTTTTCTATCTGCAAAATAACATTAAACGTAACAATATTTGTATATCCTCGTTTTTTTTCTACTCAGCGTCATGATTCTTATCAACGTTGGATCTATAAATCAAAAAATGGTAAACAGGAAATCGGAGGATTTTGGAAATCATTCATTCATAAAAATGTGAAATTGACTTTTGCAACAGTTAGAGGTGCAGGTCATATGGTGCCTAGGGATAAACCAGCTGCTATGTTTCATTTAATTCAATCATTTTTACAAAAACAAAGTCTGTAGACAACATTGATTTTGATAATATACAGTTTTCACTTTTCAGAGATTATGTCAAACCATCAATCATTTTTATAACTTTCCCAAATTAATAAAACCATGATTCCTTCTATTTTCTATTAATTATCAATGCTGATAAAATTGCTGCGATAAATAAGTGGACAACTGTTATATTTATTTGTATTGGTTATTTAAATATTCACACGGGTGTTTGGGACTGCAGCTGATCATCAGGTGCATCCAACTGACGAGCCTCAACTAGGACAAAACGCGCTTAAAGGACTCCACTGATAGCCACCATCCATCTATGAATCTAAAATTCCAAGGAATGTTCACATGCATCATCTGTGCAGCTGATCAGACATTCTGCTTCTACTATCTATTTCAAGATTGTCTTAATTTGAGGCTTGTGTTACTGCTGATTGTTGTCCATTGTTTTCCTTAATAAATGTAATTGCATTTTATGCATCTGTTTAGTCATCAATTCATCTCTTTGTCCTCCTCTTAACCAGTTTTCCTCGCTCACGCTACTCTACATCCTCCTCTAGTACACTCATTACCTTCTGGCCAGACAAGAACTGCTACATTTGATAGAGACCAGTGTTCACTCTCAGGTTATATGATCAAGGTATGTGCACTACCAAATTCTAACTAGTAAGCTTTGACATATATAGCATTTAGGTGAGATTTGTACAATCAAGCTATTTTATGTCAGTCAGAAAATAATTTAGGCATTGTAAAAGCCGTATGAATATAGAAGGATAAGGATTGTGTATTTTATTTGAGCAAAATATTTATTACACTTTCTGTTCTATAGACTGGTAGTCATTAATATAATGAATTCACTAGCGTTCTGTGTGTGAAAATTATCTGAATATGTTGGACGGAATCGTGAACGCTACTTACAGATTTATTTACAAAATTCATATATCACGTATAACAAGTAAGAGATACAACACTATATGATGCTCAGAATGCCTAAACTAACGACAAAATATGATGTATTGCCATCATACGTTAAAGTTACGATGTTAAAGTATGAAATGCTCAGGTTTTTTTCTCTAGTTCAAATCCAATACTGAACAATTAATCCTGAAATAAAATTTAACCTATATGCATTATGTTTTATCAAAGAACTAATCAGTTGATGCTTCTTGAATTTTTGGTGAATTTCATTCATCTATATGACTATAGAACAGTTTTACATTATAGCTGATGTCAGTTCGTGATTAATACTCTAGATAAAATAATGTAAGAATTCTTTAAAACCCGTCTCGATCTTTACAAGGGATCAAGGAGACAAATATACCAAACCCACAGAAAGTATCTACACTTCGTTAACTTTTCACTTTACAAGTAGAGCAATCTGTAAGAGACTTTAGTAAATTCATTATACATTAAAACTCTAATCACATTCTGTAATCTTCTTTCTGCAAACTATCCATTCTACAAAAAGCTTTTCTAATTGGCTAAGAACCAGCTAGAAATCCATTGCAACTATTTTAAGCTCGCTTCTATACTCCTAAAAAATTTTTTAAGAACATTTAAAACCTTTCTGTAAATTACAACCAAGTAGCTGTAATATGTCATACCTCTTAAACAGTACTAAATCGTCTTAGGAATTAAACCAAGGAGAAATAGTAATTCAAACTACTTAGATACAATGCTCCAAAGTAATTAAAAGTTTTACTTTGATGTTTAAAATTCCGAATTTTTTGACAATTTCAGTTACTTTCAAGTAGTCAGGTGAAATCTATTGACTAGTAAATCCTGTTTAAATGTTTTTCACCAAGACTTTTAAGACAAATGAAGGATAAAACATTGATGGACATCATTAGATGACTCAATTCAGAAGGCAATTGTGAACTTCTGTAATTTGCTTTGAAATTTATCACTTGATGAGTTGAAACTCATTAAACATATTTTAAATGAAACACAAGATATACTAATCTGTTTTTAAGTATCCGCTTATTAAGACTATTTCAAGTCTATAATTCAACTTTTTTTAAGACCCGTCTTCAGACTACACTGTTTGTATCAGTCAGGATTATCTTTTCCACAAAGGAAAAGTCCAAACAAATTTCCTCTGTTATGACTTGTAGAAGAAAATTTGATATTAAAAGTGTTCTGCTTGAAAACTCCTTGATTATTATCCAGGTTCCATATTATACTACTCATAATTAAAGTATTATGAACGTAACCAATCATATGAATGTGTTTAAGTAAAATAATAATCATTATTATATCCTCAATGAATAATTCTTAATCAATACTAAAATGCTACAGCTTCGTAAAGTTACATTTTAAAGTGAACAGTCATTTGCTTAACAACAATAACGCGAACCACTAACTAAACAGGTCACACTAATTAATCTGATAAGTAGATAAGCATTACTTCTTGTTATGAAAATCTAAATGTTGGAAAATTATTTTACTTCATCCAGTATATCTTCATTAGTAATTGATGTATAGAATGAACTCAAAGATTCAACTTTTGAAAGCTATATAGAATTGGCTAATCAATCTGAACAAACTAAACTGTGTTAGACTACTTATTTACAAATCTAAAGCTCTCGATCTTCTATATCTTCTATACAATAAATGGCTCCAAGTGATATCTTCAGTATTAATTGACTGAATCCTAACTAGTAAGGCATTTTGTTGTGTAGCTCCCCAATATTATAAAACAGAACTATTGCATTCTAATCCATGAAAAGATTATCTCCAGAGTTTTGAAACTCAAGACAGATATTGGTCAATTTGAATATATCAAATGAATAGTTTGATGTGAAAAATTAATGATTCGAACAATAAAATTGAGATCTTGAGTCAGTTGAAGCTAAACCACCATGGAGAACCTGGAAGCACTGTACTGCCGTTTCGTCCTATTATGGGACTCCTCAGCAATGCTCAGTGCGCTTCAATTGACTGATGATCTCAACTCTATAAAATTACTAAAATCTCCACAAAACCCCTTCTGATTCAAGCAATACTTTATAGCATTTATTTTAGCCGTATTTTTAATCTACTTATAGTTTTTAGTAGTAGTATAAATTAAATCTCAAACATTTTATCATATTTCACAGCAGATTGATAATCAATATGAAATTTAAATTAAATATCACAACATACTGTATATTTATAATAACACCACTATATACAAATGAATTTAATGTTTCATTGAAAAAATTTTTCAAAAAGAAAAGTGTCATCAGAAAACATTTTTCAATCCATGACAAGATATACTTTTATGAATATGAGGTATCAAATTGATTGATTGATTGATTTATAAATATATCTCTTCTATGGGTCCATTCAATGAATATATGTATATGTATATATAAGTACTAATGCAAATTCTAGTGTGTATTTAATAACCACTGATACTGATTTAAACGGTGTTTCCATTCCGTATATATCCAAATAAGTTTAATTGTGAGTGTATTAAAATTTACAATCCATTAATGATTAGTTTTGCAGTTTAATATTGATAATCAATAATTTTCTTTATTTTTCCTTTGAAACTATAACAAAAAAAAAGTTAAAGGAGTAATTTATCGAATCTTTTGCGAATCATTTTGTCTTGAAAGGTCCTTGAATTGGTTTATATGTCATATACATATGTATAGATAGATAGATATATTCCATGATTTGTTTGCAATACATTTGGAAGAGTGAAAGGAAATATTTAAAATCGAATATAGAATTCACTCGAATCGCAATTTTTATAGATACACTAGTGATAGATAGATAGATTGATTGATAGATAGATAGATAGATAGATAGATAGATAGATAGATAGATAGATAGATAGATAGATAGATAGATAGATAGATAGATAGATAGATAGATAGATAGATAGATAGATAGATAGATAGATAGATAGATAGATAGATAGATAGATAGATAGATAGATAGATAGATAGATAGATAGATAGATAGATAGATAGATAGATAGATAGATAGATAGATAGATAGATAGATAGATAGATAGATAAATAAGATTAGATCAGATTACATTAGATAGATCGATAGATATAGATAGATACATAGGTGGATTGGTAGGTAGATGGGTAGTTAGATAGATAGATAGATAGATAGATAGATAGATAGATAGATAGATAGATAGATAGATAGATAGATAGATAGATAGATAGATAGATAGATAGATAGATAGATAGATAGATAGATAGATAGATAGATAGATAGATAAATAAGATTAGATCAGATTACATTAGATAGATCGATAGATATAGATAGATACATAGGTGGATTGGTAGGTAGATGGGTAGTTAGATAGATAGATAGATAGATAGATAGATAGATAGATAGATAGATAGATAGATAGATAGATAGATAGATAGATAGATAGATAGATAGATAGATAGATAGATAGATGTAGGTGGATAGATATAGATAGATAGATAGATAGATAGATAGATAGATAGATAGATAGATAGATAGATAGATAGATAGATAGATAGATAGATAGATAGATAGATAGATAGATAGATAGATAGATAGATAGATAGATAGATAGGTAGGTAGATAGGTAGATAGATAATGCGGATAAATAGATAGGTAGATTGGTATGTATATAGATAGATAGGTAGTTAGATAGATAGATAGATGTCCATTGAGATACATTGTTTTACATATGTAAATTAAAAAGATTCAAATATGAGTACCATTTCATATATAAATGCTATTTGATTATATATATATTAAATCAAATATGTACTTTTATAAAAATGTGATTCTGATAAAATTCTATATGTTAACTTATATATCCATTGAATAAACCATGGAACACCATTTGAATTGATTGAATCTATTTCATTAGATTCATTAAATTGAAACATTTTTATAAATATAATTAATTTATAAATTAGTTTCCATGGTAATATAATCAATGATGCTAATTGATGATTTGATATATAAGCAAAACATGATACTAATACATTATCAACAATCATTGTACCAGTATCAGTAATTGGGGCATATAAACCAATTTTATAATATTGATTATCAGTATTATTATTAAGGGAGAAAAATGATTTTCTTAATTGAACTGATATAATTTTTGCTTTCATTAATTTATTTAATTTGTTATTATAAACAAAAATAATTTGACCTTTTTTAACATTCGATGCAAATACAGCTTTCTTATGATTATTTATTATTGTAGAATTATCATATATAAAGATTAAATGATCTTCAGTTAGGTAAATACTGTTTTCTTGTTGTTGTTGTTGTCGTCGTCGTCGTTCTACTTCTTCTTGTTCTCGTTGCTGCTGTTCTTCTTCTTCCTGTTTTCGTTGTTGTTCCTCTTCTTTTTCCTGTTCTCGTTGTTGTTGTTGCTCTTCTTCTTCTTCTTCTTCGTGTTTCCATGGTTGTTGTCCTTCTTCCTTTTCTTGTTTTTGTTCTTCTTGTTGTTGTTCTTGTTGTATTAAATCGGAATTAATTTGATATTTAATTTCTATTAATGGACTCCATGCATGTTGATCATAATCAAGAAAACCAATAACTAATGTATTTGTTATATGACCATTTAATGGATTCTGTGTTATAATATAATCACCAATTTTTAAATCTTTCATTGATATTAATTGACCATTTGATTTAAATACTTTTGATTCACTAGAGAAACATCCAAACCATTGTGATGTGACAATAGAATCTTTTGAAAAAAAAAGAAAAAGAAAGGAAATCTTTTTTTAGTCGAGTCATATAATTTCTTATTTATTTAAGGTGGATGTATTGAGTCAGTATGGGGATATATGGAGATTGTAGTATTATCATAGTTGCATTCATGAGTCAACCTAAGCTAGACTATTATTGAAAACCTAAAATCACTGAAAGACTATTCCATCTTAGTATGGAACACTTCAGAAGTGCTCATGTGGGACAGATGGTGTCGCGCGTTAACGTTTACTCTCTAGACCATTTAGTCAGAATCTAACAGTTTTAATGCCTAACTTTAATCAACTCATGATCTTTTACAATACACTTACAGGACGGTGGATATGCACCGTAGAGGAGTCCCATAATAGAACGAAACGACTGTCCAATACTTTTAGGTTTTTATTAGTGATCTAGCCCAGATTAACTTGTAATTTAAAGAGTAAGAATTTATTGTAGTTTATTAGAAATTATACAGCAATTACGGATATAAAATTTTTTAATTCACAAACAAAGCTTCAACATTGTAAGCAAAGTTGGACAGTGGCTAGCAGTGGAATCCAGGACGCACGTTTCGTCCTATTTGGGACTCGCCATTTCACAAGCAAGTGGCTATCAGGACTCAGTAGCTGAATGGATAACGCGATGGCGTTTGAAGCGATGGTACTGGGTTCGAGTCCCAGAGTGAACATCAACTCTGAGATGTAAGTACATCAAGCTGACCAGTCCCAAATAGGACGAAACGTCCTGGATTCCACTGCTAGCCACTATCCATATCTGCTTACTATGCTTGTGAATTAAGGCTATATCGAGGCAATACGCACAGTATGCACATATGCCAATTAGAGACTGACCAGTTGCAGTCCTAAACATCAATGGGAAGATTCAAACAAACAATACTAAGTGAATTTAAAATTTACTTAGTTTTGACATTTTATACAGTGACCACCTACAAATAAACAATCTCTGGGTCACTAAGTATGTTTCAATCCTTATGGTTTGAATATTTAATCAATTGAGAAATATAATTATCTATTCTTTCAATTCCCAGTTCACTAGGATTTTTTATTAATAACAAATTCCTTTTTTTTCAAGTCTTCTCAGTAGTTGATTAGTTCTGATGCATTTGTAGTATCAGTTATTATGTTAAGTCCATATGACTTATTCTAGCTTCTGGACAGGTCAATATATCCATTGTTCTTGAGTCGCGTTTCCAGCTTGTCAATTATTCATTTATCAATCTTGACTGTTTTTATATAAGCGTATGTGTGTACACATCTTATCCTATTCATCACATGTATGTAACCTATCTTTATCTGGCTATAAAAACTGATTAACGCTTGATTAAATCGAGTTGGCTCATACGCTTTCTCCACTGCTCATCATTTCACTGTGTTCTTTTCTCTTCGCCTCCGTCACTTCATCCCACTGATTGTCTGTCCACATCAATGATTGTACAAAATATACGTATTCGAAATCCATACTCGTATTTGACTTATATAATTCTATTATTCACTAACGTGATTTAAGTCGATAATTATATACGAGGATAACCGACATATGTATTTCAAATAACATTCACGCGATCCAGTTGGAGTCAGATATCGAACCACTAAAATGGTGAGACCTCCGATAATATCGCCCGATCTAATTGATGTAAAAATGAAGGGACTTACTAAACATTCCATACATAATCATCCAGAAAATTATAAAAATACTCATATGAATTATAATTTTCTAGATCAAGTTTTGTATTTTTATACTTTATGTCTTTCGGCAATTCTTATTTTTAGAATAAGTCAATATGGTAGGCTAAGAAAAATAAGCATAGACTACTCTTTCTTTTTGTTTAAAAAAAAGAAAAGTTGAAAATAATTCATTATCGTATATTGAATGTTTGTTTGCGTGTATTCAATTTTCAATGTTTTTGCCAAATTTTCTGCCACACATGTTATACTGTTTTATTGTGATAATGGATTATTAAATTTTTTTTCATTATGTTTTCCAAAATGTAAATTTACTTAATTGCTGGCTTATTGATCATTTTTTATCAGAAAGGAGATTTTGTGGAGATTATAGTAATTTTTATGGTTGAATTCATGAGTCGGTTAAAACTAGACTACCTTTGAAAACCTAGAAGTACTGGGCAGCTGTTTTTCTCTAATATGAAACTCCTTAGTGATCTAGAGGTTAAACGTCTGCTCATGAGACAGGAGGTCATCGGTTCAAGCCCCTCATGTGGGATCGTGGATGCGTACTACTGGGGAGTCACACAATAGGACGAAACAGCCGTTCAATGCTTTCAGGTTTTCTATGGTTGTCTAGCTCACATCGAATCATGAATTCAACTATTTTAATTATTTATTATTGACGAAAAATGTTTCTGTTAAAAAAACAATCGTTTCATTGAATTTTTTCTTAAATCATCATAAAGAATTTGACAGATATACTTATCTGTTGAATTTACTGTACACTTCCATTGTACTGAGGTAGATACCTGTCTCTACCTGACATGGATTAGCTCCACTGGCCACGACTTCTCACTAGAACTCCAGGAATTACCTCATGGAGCCAGTCACTAGTGAGCATATGATCATTATCACAAGGGGGTTTTGTGGAGATTTTAGTAATTTTATATAGTTAAGATCATGAGTCAGTTGAAGTTGGAAGTTGGTTGCGCAATTTCGTGGATTGGTTGAGGTTAGACATTAACACCTTTGGTTGCCGGCTCAGTGGTCTGTCGGTTATGGGCTCTGGCTCGAGATTTGTAGGTCCAAGTAATAATGTGAATGTGTATTCTTATTCTCTCAAACATAGAAAAGATGTATGCTTGCTGTCTAGTTTCATATAACATATTTTCATATGTTATAACATCGCAAATTACATAAGGATGTGCACTAGATAAGTCTATTAGAAAAGTTTCAAGCATTCAACTGTTCAATTTTTTTCACAAGACTAAACGAAAGCCAAGCTAATTAAGTTAGCAGAGCTTCTATGTAGGTTTTTCAAAATGTCTAATATTCACAATCTACTACAATTTGATGTAACTTATTACTGGTAAAATGTGGTCATTACTAAGATTGTTTTACAGAGTTGATCATCAACTAATTAGATGGATTAAAGAATATTGTAAACCAAAAAGGAGAAAACTTCCTACATTTTGAAAATGTTACATAACAGTATAGTTCATTAATGAAAAACTAGTGAAGCTCTCTGATGACCTAATACATACATATATGAAATCACCTTCACTGAACTATCGTTTCTATTGAGATCGTAAGTCGATTGATGTCAGACTACCATTTAAATCTCTAAGCATTTGACGGCCGTTTCGTCCTAGTATGGGACTCCTCAGCAGTGCACGTCCACGACCTCGCATGTGGGACTTGAACCCAGGACTTTCGGCCTCACATGCGAACGCTTAACTCAACAATCATCACTACCCTATACTGATAATCATCATGTACTCACTAATGACTGGCTTTAAAATGGATTTCCTGGAGTCCCAATGAGGAGCTGTGACTAGTGGAGTTCAACTGTGTCTGTTAGGAAGCAGATACTCGCCAAAGACAACAATGGATGATTGCGAAACTTCGTGGATTGGTGGAAGTTAGACATTAACACCGTTGGACGCTGGTTCAGTGGTTTAGAAGTTAAGTGTTCACGCGTGAGATCGAAGTTTCTGGGTTTGAGTCCCACGTAAGGGATCGTGGATGAGCACTGCTGAAAAGTCCCATACTAGGAAGAAACGATGGTGGTGTAACATTCATCCATTCATTATATCGATCTAAACTCAATATTCTCCACAACCTTGCGATGAAAATTTGTATTAATAAGGGGGAATTTATAGGTATCATTAAAAAAACAATACATTATTTCAGCATAAATGTTTATGATCTAAAAATGAAAACAAAATTAATTAATTATACAATATTAATTAACTTACCAGGTTTAACGGAACAATGTACATGACCAGCACGATTAAAAAAACACCAATCAAAATGTGCTACATAATAGGCTATTTGTGCTAATACACCTAAATGTAAATCAGAATTATGTGGTCTACCATATTTACGTGTAATTAATTCCATATCAACAGCTCTACCAGCATAATGAAATTCTTCCATACGTAATTCATTTAATTGATTATTATTATTATTTATTAAATAATTATGATTAGAATTATAATCATAATTACGATAGTTTCGATCAGTATTCGATGGATAGATTGGATTAATTGAACGTTCAACTAATTTATGTACCGATTTATCACTACGATTAGATAGATTAATGGTTTGATTCAAATGATAAATTGAAATATTTGATTGTTTAATTAATATATTTCTTGGTAATCGAATCATAGTATTATATGTAGAATCTGGTAAAGATGATGAAACTTTATTAGGATTGAAAAAATAGCCAGATGATGATGATGTTGATGGTGATGGTGGTGGTGGTGATGGTGGTGACGACGACGACGACGACGATAGTGATTGATATGAATGAGAATTTTGTGTTGGATATGATCTAGGTAAAGAAGAAAGATGTGTTATATAATTTAGATTATTTTTTATTGAAGGCCAACGACTAGTTTGTGTTGAAATACTTTTTGATGATGGAATAAATTGATTAAATTTTAAATTTTTCGATTGTGTTCCAATTTTGTTTGAATGTGAATTGATTTGAATAAATTCACCATCCATCATTTCTGGTGTCATATCAATAACTGGTGCATCTAAAAATTGTCTTGATTTAACCGGTACAAATGGTAACGCTCTTTGACCGGAAAAAACTGTTGGTGAATTTCCCACAAATACTGGATTACGACTATGTGAAACTTTTTCTGGTTTAGAGTTTTTCTCATAAAGTAATGGTGAATCTTCATGACTATCTTCCATATTATCGTCTTGTGGAAGAGGTTTGTAATTTGGTGGTGGTTTAACCCAAGAACGTATCACTCGTAAGATAACATCTTGTTTAGCCCATGTATTATGTATCTGTGTCGATAATTTGATCAATCGGTCACGGCAGCCCTAAAAATGCAAAAATGAAAGTTTGTATAGCTTAGATTTTTATTAGTCTTTTTCAGCTTATACTAACATCTCAGTCAGCAAAATCTGAACATTTGACTATAGGTCTTTAAACATTATATGTGAACGGAAATCACAATCCGATCTAAGATAATCATTGAAAACTTGGAAGTACTGGACAGCCATTTTGTTTCAGTATGGAGCTCCTCACTTGTGAGCATCCGCGACTACGCATCATGTTGTCAATGGTATCTGGCTTTGAGAGGGAGTTTTAGAAGTTCTAGTGATTTGTGGAGTTCAATTGTGTCGGATGTGAGGGAATTATCTCCGAAAATAGTGGAATATTGCCACTCAATATTGTGGATTGACTAAAGTTAGACTTATACACCATTAGATCACACCTTAGTAGTCTGTAGGTTAAACGTTCGATCACAAAACCAAAGGTCCTGGAGTCGATTACTGGTTGCAGCATCGTGTTTATCGACTGTTAAGGAATCCTACAGAAAGAGGTAATGGACGTTCAGTGCTCCTAGGTTTTCAATGTTTGTCTAAATTAGATTGTTTAATTATTTTAACGAAATTCAACAATCTGCAAAACTTCATGTTGACTGTCATACTTTTGTGCAGAATTGATCATTTCAAAGAAAACGATCACGTAATTACATCTGGAATCATTTGAAACTAAGAATAGAATATTAACTCATCTAAACTTCTCTATTCAAATGATTAAATATTCAACTACGAGTTTTATTTTCACTGTAAATTCAACCAAATAAAAGGAAATTAACGATGATTCTTGTGATAAGAATCATTAATAGAAAAGAACATAAAGTATAAAAAAAGCTGAAAATAATTTACTTTAGGATCTGATGGAATAGAATATTCACTGAAGTTTATTATCTTAACTTCAGTAAATGAAGAACAGTTACAATTGTTTACATAGTTTTCTTATTTTCTCTGATTTATCCATTAAAATTGAAATAAAATTATATCACAATTTAAAACCTGGAAGCACTGGATGGTCGTTTCGTCCCACTGTGGAACTCATTAGAGGTGGACATCCACGATCTGGCACGTAGAACTTGAACCTAGAACCTTTGGTCTCGCACGCGGACACATAACCTCTAGACCGATGAACCATCAACGGTGTTAATATTTAATTTCAAGCGATCCATGGTCTTGCAAAACCCTTCATCTATTGTCTGAGGTGGATAACTGTCTTACACTCGACACAGATTGAACTCAACTTGTCACGGTTTCTTAATAGAACTTTAGGAAATTCATCTTGAAGCTAGTAGCTAGTGAGCATATTATTATCATTATTATCATTATTAGGATTAGTGGAGATTGTAGTATTGTAACAGTTGAATTCAGGAGCCAATCAATGGTGGTCTAGATTAGATTGACCCGTGAATTCAACTGTTAAAATACTATAATCTTCACAAATCACCATAATGATGGGATAGACTGTCAAACTCAAGACTCAATGGTGTTTAACTATGTTTATTATTTTCGATCGTTGCACTCTTTAAAAATTTCAGTCGTTGCATCTAGAGACATATAGATGATTATGTCCGACCTTTTGTACCTAAAAGCAGATTTCTGAATAACTTAGTCCAGGGAATTTTTGAGATTGTTGAATTTCCTAGTTTATCATGTTTTTATTAGTGAATAATTTTGACAGGTTATTCCCTGAGTCCTATTGAGAAGGCTTCACCAGCGGAACATAGCCATATCAGATGTAAGACAGATATCACTTTATGACAACCAATGATGTTTCAACAATATTGATAATTTACTGAAGTTGAAAATATAAATCACTGTATAGCAACTCAGTGATCAAAATGTTGATAGTTTGTTGCATCGCTCGAAGTAACTAGATTTGATCCCTATTAAATTCATAAATGCTCACTGTTGAGCAGTCTCATACTAGAACACAAAAGTTGTTCAATGATTCCTAGTTTTCGATCATTGTCTGACGAAAATCGGTTCATAATGTAAAACTGTAAGATTCTTAGTTAAAAGCACTGGCTTATTTAATAATATTTTGTTTGATTTATCACAAATCATTAGCATAATTCAAGTAACCTAAAGTTCCACAAATTCATTCTGATTACTTATCTCTACAGGGAAGCTAAATATCTCTGAGAAAATGTTTCAAGCTATGACTATGGAAACAGTTTTAATGAATAGTATATGTGTATAATGCTGAAGAGTTTTCACTATGAGATGTAATGGCTAAATAATCCTCATTAATCACAAATGATCCCACGTAGGATGAAAAGTACTTTCATAAAGGTTATTCGTTAAAAAAAAATCTCAATATTGTTGTTATTTCTAACAACTGAACTAAGTTTAAATCCAATATCATATGAAACTTTCGATTAAAATTTGGATAAGTCTAAATCTTCAATGTTAAGAAACTTGATAAAATAACATAAACCCTTTAGATTCACTTGGTATTGTTTGTTTGAATCTTCCCATCGATTTGTTAGGACTGCAACTGGTCAGTCTCTAATTGGCATATGTGCATACTGTGCGTATTGCCTCGATATACTTTAATTCACAAGCATGGTTAGGACAAAACGCGCGTCCTGGATTCCACTGCTAGCCACTACCCATCTCTGCTAACCATGCTTGTGAATTAAGGTATATCGAGGCAATACGCACAGTATGCACATATGCCAATTAGAGACTGACCAGTTGCAGTCCTAACAAAATCGATGGGAAGATTCAAACAAACAATACCAAGTGAATTCAAACTTCACCCCATCGCACAAGCAAGTGGCTATCAGGACTCAGTGGCCGAGTGGATAACGCGATGGCGTTTGAAGCGAGGGTACTGGGTTCGAGTCCCAGAGTGAACATCAACTCTGAGATGTAGGTACATCAAGCTGACCAGTCCCAAATAGGACGAAACGTCTTGAATTCCACTGCTAGCCATTACCCATCTCTGATAAACCCTTTAGGTTCTATATATTTTGGTATCTATATATTTGTAATATCCCAATGAGTAGAAAGATTAGATTTTCTGACATTTCGTAACTTAGTATAAGCGACTTCTTCAGAGAATAAATTATCAAATCAAAACTTGGTCTTGTGTATTGTTTACATTTCAATAGTAATTTATGTCTTCATGAATCAATTATACTTAAAGTTATTCATTCGACTTCCTATTACAAATTGTTTATAGTTGTAAGTGTACATTAAATACAACGAGGGATACAACGACGATATTTTCAATTTCCTCAAGCCATTTAAAATGAAGTTTTTATTTAGCAGATTATATTTGTAATGCTGCGTAATAAGAAACAGCTATCTAGTGTTCTTTGATTTTAAATAGTATTCAACTGAAGGTGATCAATAAAACCATAGCAATCATTTCATCAATCACTTACTTTATCATGTTCCTAAAGTTTTAGTAAAAAGTCATGAATGCAGAGAATAAAGCAGTTGTCATAAATGGGATTAGATGTTCATCAGGCTAGATCGTTAGTTGACAGCAATTGAAATTGTACCTTTGCACTCTGATTAAGTGATTCTAATGGATAAGGGATCGCTGAAAGACATAAACTTCCTGGGTTCGGTCCCTGGCTAGGGTTGTGGATGTGAACTGACGAGTCCCACTTTAGAATCAAACAGTTACTTAATACATCCTTCCTTTCAATAGCGCCCCATATGAAATCAATGTATTATGAATAAACACCTACAAACTGAACTAATCTCCTTGAGACCCCTTCTATTAAAAACAAACCAATTTTCACTTTACCAAAGTTAAAAAGGTATTTTTATATAGTTGATATCATGAGTCAATTGAAACTGGACCACCATGGAAAACCTAGAAGCACTGAACGGCCGTTTCGTCCTATTGTGGGACTCCCCAGCAGTGCACATCCACGATTCCGCCTCGCGAGATACATAAAATTGCTAAAATCTCCACAAAACCCCCTTCTTAAGAAGGTATTGTTTAAAAAATTGACAGAAATGACTTGATTTCTATGAATACAATACTTATCAGAAAAACAATATACAACATTTGACATAAGAGGTATTTTATACACATCTTGGAATAATTCAGTGTGAATTAATATAAAAATTTACTATTTATAAGTGAATAAAGTGTTCACTGTACAAGCCTTGAAGATTATTCACTCATAACAGTGTTTTCTCAGAATCTGTTTAGCATATATGACATATCTATTCGAAGGATGTCGATGCTCACACTAAAACTCGAAACCAATATCTTTCACTTGAAAAGCTCAAGGTGTTATTCACCAAGTTATTGAATCTATATAGTCGCTAACGTTTTCAACGGGTATAACAGTCAACCATTATCAAGCTAGGGAACATCTAAACTCATTAATTCAATCATATATATAATCAAAATCTTGATTATAAAATACAACATTATTTCATTGTAGTGCGGTGAATTAACCGTTTTTTTCTCTTTACAATGAGAACATTATCATCATTACTGATCTGGTATTCTTCTTAGAAAAGAATCTAGAAACTGTAGACATAATAAAACAGTCTTTCGAATAATTTACGTACTCGCTTACTATCTCCATCAATGTTTAGTATATAAATTTGGGTGGTCTGAATAACTTAAGTGCTTTAAACAGATTTTTGGCATTAGGCTGATGCATGCTATTTCAATGATCAGATTTATTAATCTGTCTTTTGGTTATATAGAGCTTGAATACTTCTATTGTTCAATATTATAATACCTTCTAAACACTTTTAGTTAGCTATTTCATATCAGATAGTTACATTATGTTGAAGTGTTAATTTTATGTAACAAATATTTTTAGCCATTCCAGATATCGTGAATCGATTGCTGTTAGACTATTATTGAAAACCTGGAATCAGTAGACGACTATTTCGTCCAAGTATGGGACTCCTTATAAGTGCACCCACGATGCCTTACTTGAGATTTGAACCCAGAATATTCAGTCTCGCGAGCGAACACTTAACCTCTTAACCATTAAACCGGCATCCAACGG